AGCGCGAGGGCAAAGGAGGGGGCATACGAACGGAAGGAGGCTGGAAGGGGAGATGGGACGGGGAGCCGAAGGGATGGGGGAGAGATACGGTGGAGTAAGCACGGCAGCGTAAGAGACAGGCGGGGAGGGGGGATGGGGGAGGGGGCGATGGGAGCGGCCGAGCAGGGGCATGACAGAGGGGAGGAGGAGGGCCGCCGAACATCGGGAGGACGGACGGGACGGGAACGAGAGGAGGAGACGAGGAGAGGGGACAGGAGGAAGAGCGAGGGGGGGGGGGAGGGCCAGAGGAGGGGCCGCAGGACGCGGGAGAGAGCTGCCGAGAGCGCGGCAGGCTCGACGCGCGCACCATGTCGGGGGTGACGGGCGTCCTGCGGCAGCGTCGATGGGCCCGAGCATCCACAGTGGGATTTGATGGTCAGCAGGCTCCGCGCTGACAGGAGGAGAAGGAGGAGGAGGAGGAGGAGGAGGAGCGAGGAGGAGGAGGACGAGCGATGAGGGGTGGTCGAGGATCCACAGTGAATTTCGACGGAACCTGGTGGAGTGGACATCGACGTTGGAGCGCACACCACGTGTCCAGTCGAGGTCCAACCACAGCTCAACATGAGAACAGCTGCATTCGCATAGAGATGTCCAGAGGTCTGCAGGGACTATACCATTACCCCCGCAGTGACGGATGACAATGAGGGGGGCAACGGGGTCGTCGGCAGTCGGCCAGGCTCGAAACCAATTCTGAGCAAGCCCGCCGCAGAGGCCGACCTTATCAACGAGCCCGCCGCAGGCGCCGAATTATCGTCAAAGAAATGTGGGTCGATCACGGGCGGGACGATGGCAGGTCGCGGGCGGGGCGGTTGGGTCGCACGACGACAGCCGCAGCGACTACGTAGAGCAGACCAGCAGTGAGAACCTGCGCCGAGGGAACCCACTTCAGGCCTGCACGCGAGGATGGTGTACGACCGCTCGACCCTCTCACCCTGTCGTGCCGCCGAAGTGGTCTGCCACATTTATTGGGAAGCTACGAGAAGGGTTGAATGGGTCGGCTGCGTCGGCCCGGAGGGAGCCCCACGGAGGGAGGAGGAGGCAAAGGATGAGGAGAAGGAAGAGGAGGAGGAGGAGGAGGCGGAGGAGGAGGAGGAAGGAGGAGGAGGAGGAGGAGGGGAAGAGCAGGAGGAGAAGGAGGAGGAGGAAAGGGGAGGAGGAGGAGGAGGAGGGGAGGAGGAGGAGGAGGAGGAGGGAGAGAGGAGGAGGAGGAGGAGGAGGAGGAGGAGGAGGAGGAGGAGGAGGAGGAGGAGGAGGAGGAGGAGGAGGAGGAGGAGGAAGAGGAGGGGAGGCTGTCTGGGGAGCCCTGGAGGGTCCGTGGAGGCCCACGGCGCCGACGTGTGATCTTGGAGGACCGCGCCGCTCGCCACGCAGGGAGGCCTTGAAGGGGTGAGGGGGGCGAATCCTCGTGTATCTCCTCCACCTCTTGGGAGGAGGAGGAGGAGGAGGAGGAGGAGGAGGAGGAGGGGAGGAGGAGGAGGAGGAGGAGGAGGAGGAGGAGGAGGGGGGGGGAGAGAAGGAGGAGGAGGAGGAGGCGGAGGAGGGGGAGGAGGAAGAGCAGGAGGAGGAGGAGGGGGGGAGGAGGGGGGGGGAGGGGGAGGAGATGAGGAGGAGGAGGAGGAGGAGGAGGAGTAGGAGGAATCCTCGTCTTGGGCCCCGCTGGCGGACATCTCGAGCCTGCGCGTGAGCTGCCCCTTGGCACCCCTGGCCCTGGCTGCTGATCTTCCTGAGCCTACTCGGCTCGCCCGGTCAGTGGCCGTGGCACGAGGCCTCGGCCGAGTCAGCAGGGCGCACTTCCTGGCTCGCACCGGGTGCATGTCCCGATCGCTTGCAGTGCTGGGTGGCTTGCCTGACAGTCACGGCACTGACACTCGCGAAACCACCCCTCGCTGAAATGGGGCGGCCGCGAATGCCAAAGATGTCTCCCTCCTTCCTCGGGACACGTGGACATAATTACGCAAAGGCTGTCCCACTCCAAATCTGTCGGCCCTTTGTGTCCGCGTCTCGCGATGAGCGTTTCGAACGCCGTTCGTTCCGTCAACCCATCTGCGCCTCTCGCTTGCTCGCGGGCACCTCTCTCTCGATATCGACACCCGAGTCTCGTCCTCATCTTCGTCGTCCTCCACCTGATCGTGGGGTTCAACTTGTCATCCTGAATACTCCTACAGGGGTCGCAGGTCAGTGCCTCTCATGACCACGCCTTGAACAATAGGAATTGGCCAGTGCCAAGCAACATCTATGCTAGAAAACAACGGTGTGCGTTCAGCCCCGCAAATGTGTCTCAAAGGCGGAATGTCTTCGATGCATAACATAACAACGGCGAGCATGGTCAGAACCACCTCTGGTTTATGGCTAAACTCCACACTTCTGTCACGCTTGCGAAGAATTGTGGCAAGGCTGCCTCCAAGAACACTTACCCAGGAGCAGGCATCCTAACGGGCTGCCCAGGCCTCAATGAGTGGAGCCCCCTCGAAAGAATGAGCACCCTTCCAAAAAGCCTCCAAAGCTGACCAAGGACCCCATCCACATCTTCCTGCTCACTGTCAAATATTACGCCCTTGGCCATTCGACCGACTGTTCACCAGATCGGACGGCGGGCCACGTCATTCAGCAGCATCCATCCGACTCGAAATTTGTGCGAAATCCCGTTCACCCTCTGGGAACGTGGTTTGGCGGCCTATGTAGGGAACCGCGCTCTATACACCGACGTTGTTGTGCGGCCCGGCACGGACCTTTGCGCAAGAAAGCGGTGCCTGTTGTATACGGGACCCTGGTGTATACATTTTCCGTTGTTTCCCCGGGAAAATGGGGAAACACGTATACTACACCACCCCGACGTCGTCCCCGACCGTCAAAAGTCCTGGGATTTGAAGACGGCCCGCCACTGGTATTGTGTAGGCTCCAATTTCCGATTCTGCCCAATCATGGCCCCAGGAAGCCTCCAGAAGGCTCCCGGATCGAAGGGACCTCGGCAGCCTTTCTCGACTCCTGGTTTTTTTCTCGGGCCGTTCCCGAGCTTCGATTCCACGGCTGGCCCTCGTCATTGTTCCACTGTGGGCGCCTGCATTCACTCCCTCGATCAATTCGCCATCGCTCGGACGTCCCTTCCCTGTGCATTTGTCGGTTTCGTGCGTGTTTTTTTGCTCGATGGTTATGCTTCTCGACGGTCCTCGCCTAGAACAAATGCACACTTCCGAGCGATGCCAGGTTCAAGCAGCTCGCCTGGGAATCGTTTCTGGATGGGCTTGCGGGGGGTAAACAACTAATCAACAGATAGACTAGACTGGCAACGACTAGACCATCAAACATCCTCATATAATCATTACCGTCTCTCGTACCGGTCAGAGAATCTCTAACTCCGAGGGTGGCTGTGCGCTCAGACAGTGGCGGAAGAGGCCGCCCAGAGCATCCTCGGCGCAGGCGGAATGTAGTCGGGGATGTTGCCGCTGAAAACAGAGGGGGACGATCCGTGCACCGAGATGAAGTCGACGTCGGTCGTCTGGAGAATATTTTGAAGCAAAGCGGAATACGTACTCAGCAATCAATCCAGCTGGACCGGTCATCGGCTCGCCTGGCTCAGGCGATGGTGGCCGTTGGGGCAGTTAGCAGAAGTTCCTCGGCAAGACAGACAGGGGAAAGCTGCCGTGCATATACGAAAAGAGTGTGATGGTGAGGCCATGCACGAACCACATGGTTGCGCAGTGTACTCGGACACGCAGGGGCGAAACACAGACGTAGACTTCGCCCCGTGCAGCGCATGTTCAGAAATGTAATGTGGAAAGATGTGAACAGCCGATCCTCTACCGACTGAGCTTCCATACTCCCTGGCCGCGGCGCGCGCATGAACGCAAGCGATATCATCAGTGCAATCCGACTACTTCGGCAACTAACTCTCTGCAGTTACAGTTGCATGACACACCCAGAACAATCGCCTGACACCGAAGCAAGCAACAAACAAGCAAGACCCACTAGTACCAGCACAGATGAACTCAGGGGTACAATAAACTGGGGTAGACTCGCCTGAGGAACCAGCGACGGGTCTGAGGATGGCAAGGTGCGCCAAGCGATCCCATCTCTCCTCCCCAAGCGATCCCATCTCTCCTCCCCTCTCCTTCTGCGCCTCCCCGTCCTCCTACAACCCCTGTTTTTCTCTTGTCCTACTGTTTCCCCTCCTCCGCCCGACCTCCCCCGCATTACCATTTCCCTCCTTTCCCCCTCCACTGCGTCCTCTTCCCTCCACCTCTTCCTCGTCATCATCGCCGTCGTCCTCCGAATCCTCGCACTCCTCGTCGTCCTCCTCATCCTGCCCCTCATTTACCATTCAATAAAACTGCGGACACTTAGTACTAGTGTTGTCAACATCACCGTCCTCATTCTCCTCATGCCCCTTCGTATCATTACCATCTTCATCACCATCATCATCACCACCACCGCGTTTCCGAGTTATCGACAACTCACCAGTCATCAAGCCTCTCGGCAGAACCTTCGTTTTGCCATGCCGAGCAGCGCGATCACGAACCAGAGCCCAAATTGCTGCACGGTCCTGAAGAGCCGAGCTCGTGCACAGAATCACCTCGTCTTTGCCTACGCCCAAGGTCGATGCCGAATGGGGAAGAATACAGTCGAGGCGTTGACCTAAGGAACCCCAAATAAGGAACGAGGCCCCTTTTTTTCCGTAAGTTCACCTTGGAGAATCCAGCCAGCCCCCCTGTGCTCCGCAGCCTTTTCGGACCTGGCCTCCCTCCATGAGCACACCAGCCGCGCGCCCACCTCCCGCAGCCGAGCCCGTACCCGGACCAGGCCCGCGCTCCTCCAGACAGGCAGCGGCGGCGTGGAGGTGCCACTCGAGCGAAACCAGCGCCAACGCAACGATGGCGACGGCGAGGAAAGCTGGAAAAATACATACGAGGCCGATTACCTTGATCGTGAAAGAACTCCTGCGGTGCGCTCAGCGGAACAGAGACATGAGCAGCGCGATCTTCGACGCCTGGGCCTTCAAGAGCGACAGCCCGATCACCGTGCGCATCCAGGAGCAAACCGCGGCCTACGGCAAGGCTACCAACGAGAAAGGCAAGACCACGACCTGGGACCACCACAGATGTACAAGATGGGCGGATTTCTGGCAGCGGTGAAGGAGCTTCCACTCGACGACAACTCAAACAGAACGTTGTCAAGAAGTTCACGGACTACGACAACTACGATTGCGAGCAGAAGTCAGACCTGGTGCTCTTCTACAAAGTCGACAGCATGTACGAGGCGGAGAAGGAGATGCTCACGCTCGCGGTCCGCGAGCCGCAATTCAGGGTCTACCTCCCGAAGGCGCTGCAGACTACTCCGGCGAAGCGGAAGTATGGCAGGGCACCAGCGACGCACCTGGAGAGGGAGCCTCAGGAGTGGGTCGGGCAGCTGTTGATGTGAACGAGCCTGGACGCGAGGAGGCTGCAACAGCGAGCGTGAGTGCTTCTGGGCAGGCTGTAGCAATGAGCGTGAGTGTTCCGGAGACGGGAAGTGCAGGCGAGGCTACACAGCTGGAGGCGAACGCAAGCACGCCTCAGTCCCGCAGCAGGCGATCCAGCGACGGCCGTGAGCAGGTGAATTAGCCTCCCTCTCACTGTATCCGATTTTCGTGTTTGTACGAGGTTTCCTGCCACGAGAAACGTTTTCCCTGATATCTGAGTTTTCGATAGTGTAGTTTCGAGCAAGCACGTTTTCAAACAAGCTAGGCTGTGGCATCGATCTCAGACGTGGTCGTCCCGTTGTTTGGTGTGATCCCCTCGACCTCTCTACACGTCGGAGGTCGTGGGTCTCAGGCTGGGGCCTCCTCGGGCCCGTCGGCTGCGAGACCACCACATGGGGTGGGATTTGTTAGGAACGCCACTTAGCAGAGACGTCGCTCCGATTTCAGTTATAGTTTCGAGCTTCACACATTTGCTGCTAGCTGAACGTGCTCGGACATCGGTGCCAATGACGTGAATGAATGACATTAACGATCACCAACACCATCGCCATCACCATCAGCATCATCATCATCACCATCAACACCAACGTCGTCAGCAACACCATTAGCATCATCATCATCATCACCATTAACATCATCAGCATCAACATCGTCACCGGCATCATCATCATCATCGTCATCATCATCATCATCATCATCATCATCATAATCATAATCATCATCTTCATCATCACCATCACCGACATCAGCAACATCACCACTACCACCATCATCACCATCAATATCATCACCAACATCAGCATCACCCGCTATCATCATCAGAAGCATCATAATCATCGTCACCACCACCACCATCACCATCATACTCAGCATCAACATCAACATCAACCTCAACATCAACATCATTATTCACATCCAGACCACCTTCCATCACTCCCCGCTGCTCCCGCCCTCTTCCTCCCCCATCCCGCCCCTCCGCTACCCGCTCGTGCCCTTCCCTCGTACCTCGCTCCTCTCCTCCGTAACCGTTTCGGCTCAGGCTCCAACAAAGGCTCAGACCGCGCGGACCAACCGTGCTGGGCTCACGCGTGGTCGTGTGCCGCGTCCGCGCCTCACGCTCGGCGCTTGGGTGGCTCCAGGTCGATCGCCTCTGCGTTGTGCGATGCATCTTTCTGCGCGACCTCGCCAAACGCGACGGCGGAGAAGGACGGACGCTCAAGGTGCGCCTGATATCCGCTCTGAGGCGTCCCTGGTCTGCGCTTCTTCCTCGCCGGGGGCTTCCGGCCGTCTTCCTCCCTCCTCTCTCACCGCACCGCCTGGGGGGCCGAAGCCAATTCTAGGTCGGGCGTGCCCTCCTACAGGCGGACTTTGGAGGAAAATCAAAACATGTCAGGAAATGCTAACAAATCGTCGAACATCGTAGAAACATCGTGCCCAGACCATTTTTGGACGATTTTCGAATCCTCCTCCTGTGGAGGGACAGGCCCGAACGAAAGTTAATGGCGCCGCGAGGCCCTACCGATGACTGGGTCGGGGGCAGTGCGCACGCAGAGACTCGCGGATGCTACCAGAACGTTTTCCGCTACACCTTCTTCTCGGCCTACGTCGGCGGCATCGCCCGTTGATGGTGAACGTTTTCTGATTCGGCATTTCGACATTGGGCGGAAGGGGGCGGGGAAGGGGGTGTCTGGCTCCAGACCTCTGCTTAGTGCGCCTGTTTGGAACTGTGCGTCCTCTGGGGGGCGACTCTACCTGCATGAAACAGGCGCCGGAAACAGCCAAGATCTACTCCATGGGGGAGGTGGAGGGGGGGTGCGAGGGCCCGCGCCGATCGGCAGAACAATACAGAAAAACACGATCATATTTTATTTTTCCTGTTTCGATTCGCGCGTGCCACCACCACCCTACGTTTACGCCGCATGCCCTTATCCGATCCCGTCTTCGAGTGGACGGGGCCCCCGGGGGGCCCTTGGCAAGGCCTCGGAAGCGTTAAGAAAGGGCTGCGGCTCCGCTTTGCCCACGAGGAGATTTGAGCGAAGCCGCGAGAGGGATGCTCACAAGCGGCGAACGCATCCATATCCACGTCCTCGCGGCCTGGATTCCGGGATTCCGGGACGCGACACCACGGATACGCGGTCTCACGGATATCCCGAATCCCTGCGCGGATGTTTTTTCTAAATTTTCGGCCGCGAGGGGTCCTTCCCGGGCCTCGGGAGCGTCAACAGAAACGACTCGGGATGAAGAACCGGTTCCGGGGAAGGGGTCGAGACCTCTGGGGGTCGACGTTGCAACAGGAATCACGACGTCGGGGGTCTGGGGACGGGGCCAAGATAAATCCGTTCCAGAGCGTTTGGAAACGCTCTCGGAGCGTTCTGGAAGGCTCCGAGAAGGCCGCGGCGCCCGAGATATCCTGAAGAGCCCGCCCAGATCTCAGAGGTTCTCTCGATGTTTCCTCACCCGATCTGATCCTCGTCCTGGCGTCGTCTCAATTACACGAGGACGGACAAATTGCAGAAGCGATCGACGACGTCGGATATGCATCGGCGATTCCGGAGTGGAGATTGGCGGCGCGCACAAGGGGGAGGAGGGAGGGGGGAGGGCTTCTTAGAAGGAGGCTGCTTCTTAGAAGCAGGGGTGTTTCTAAGAAGCCCTCCCCTCTCCCCTCCCCCCTCTGCGCTTGGCTGAGGAGAACATCGGGCTCCACATCGAGCCGCATCGCCGACCCATCGCCGATGCGGCGCGATGCTCCGACCCCATCTACCTGGACCCCAGGCAGAGGCTCGGGAGAGGAGGCGGAGGCTCAGGAGAAGGAGCCTCCTCTACCTCCTCCTTTTCTTCCTCCTAACCCCCCCCCCCTCATCTTCCTCCTCCTCCTCCCCCTCCTCCTCCTCCTCCTCCTCCTCCTCCTGTTCCTCCTCCTCCTCCTCCTCCTCCTCCCCCCTCCTCCTCTCCTCCTCCTCCTCCTCCTCCTCCTCCTCTCCTCCTCCTCCCTCCTCCTCCTCCTCCTCTCCTCCCCTTCTCCTCCTCCTCCTTCCTCCTCCTCCTCCTCTCCCCCCCCCCTCATCGTCCTCCCCTCCTCCTCCTCCTCCTCCTCCTCCTCCTCCCTCCCCCCCTCACATTCCTCCTCCTCCTCCTCCTCCTCCTCCCTGCCTGGACCCCATCTGGGAGGCCTGGAGGACTTTGGGGAGCCTCTGGCTGGCCCTCTGGAGGTGGGCCCTGGCCGGAGGGCGGGCGCCGCTCCAAGCCCCTGGAGGGCGAAGCCGCGCCCTGGCCCCCCTTAGAGGCTGGGCAGGGGGCCGGCCGTGCATGCTGCTCCCGTCGTGCGTCAGGTCGTGAGGTTCGCTGCCCTGTGCTGTCTAGAGGTGCGCTGGCTCTCTGGGACGTCCCCACACTATCTTCGGGAGCGGCCAAGAGGGGGGGGCCCAACAGGGGGGGGGGGTGCAAATCATGACCGGCGGCATGTGCGCGGCCCAGCTGGGGGGCCAGGGACGTAACGAAATAAGAAGAGGCGCCATGAAGTCTGGGGAGATATCATGGCCCCCGCGATGATATCCACCACCCCCCTAGTCATCACCCCATTCTTTTCCGCCCCCGACTCTGGAACGTCCCCACACTATCTTCACATCCGTCATTGTCGGCATGCCTGTGACCGGGCGCCCCTCGGCCCCTGGAGGGCGAAGCTGCGTCCTGGCCCCCCTTGTGCTGGGCAGGGGGCAAGGCCGTGTGTGTGTGTGTGTTGCTCCCGTCGTGCTCCAGGTCGTGAGGTTCGCTGCCCTGTGCTGTCCAGAGGCACAGTCAGCCCGCAGAGTAAGGATGCGCGATCAGGATGCAAGGCCCTTGGAAGCCCCTCTCGAAGCGTTTCGAGCGGAGCGCGGCCAACGAGAGTGTCCAAGGATGGACCCAGGAAGCAAGGATGCAAGGGTGCCCTTGGGAAGGCGGCCCGTCCTTACTCTGCGGGTCGACTTCATGCTAGCTCTTTGAAACGTCCCCAAACTATCTTCACGTCTGTCATCGTCGGCGTCCCTGTGACTGTGACCGTCGGGGGCGACGGGTACGGGCGCGAGGACGCAACGGGGGATGATTCGGGGGACGCCGCGCGGAGGCCACAACACTGGCAGCGAACCTTGCAAACTCAAGGGCAACATCCCAGACATAATCTCGAGCGCCCAGGAAAGTGTCGAGCGAGTGTCGAAACAGTGTCCAAACAGTGCTGGACGAGTGTCTCCCAGGACCCGACGCGTGGAAACCTTCGAGTTTCGGTACTTGTTTGGGTGCTCCAAATTCTTTCTGGTAGTCAAGGCTAAATCGGTTGGAACATCATAATCTTAGAACCAACAGAAGCTCCAATAACACAAACGCCCGACGTGTTCAAACAGGACAGTCTCAGCCAGACATGTTCTCGGAGCATTTCGTGCAGACCACAAGAACAGTTCTTAGAACACTCTTCCGTGGGCCTATAGGCAAACCAGGGCGCTTCGCCACTGCTTGACCATGGGCGATCGGCCTCGTCGTCGTCGTCGTCGTCGTCTTGGGCGCCCGAGTTATCCGGGGTAACTCGGGTCCGGGGTAACGCGGGTTTGGATTCCCGAAAAACGCACCCGAGTTAGCCCTGACCCCCGAACTACTCCTGATGGTTTGGGGCTCTGGACGCCCGACTTATCCGGGGCAACTCGGGCCCGGGGTAAGTCGGGTTCGGAATCCCGAAAAGCGAACCCGAGTTAGCCCTGACCCGAGTTACCCCTGATGATTTGGGGCTCTGATCGTCGTCGTCGTCGTCGTCGTCGTCGTGGCGCCGCCGGCAAGACAGCCGCAAAAACACGCGCGCCTGCTCGGTGGGTGGCCCCTCGGTGCTCTCGTGGTCGCGGTCGCTCACCCGGTCGCTGACCCTGCTGCCGGGGGCGCCCACTGTCCACCGCCACCGCCAGCATGCAGGAGAGGGAGGAGGCGGAGGAGGAGGAGGATGACGGAGGAGGAGGAGGAGGCGGAGGAGGAGGAGGAGGTAGGAGACGGAGGAGGAGGAGGAGGAGGGGAGGAGGAGGAGGAGGAGGAGGGAGGAGGAGGGAGGAGGAGGCGGAGGAGGAGGCGGAGGAGGACCTCCTCGACCTCCCCCCCTCCCCCGTCCTACATGTATGGTAGTGGTGGTGGGAAGTTTGCCCACCACCTGTCGCTCACCATGTCGCTGACCCTGTCGCTGGCCGAGAGGCCGCTCGGCTTGAGGCCCACCTGGCGGCGGCGGCGCTCGGAGGGAGGGCGCGGCGCTCCCGGGCGCCGCGCGCCCCCTCTCTCGCAGACAATACAAGTTCCTCCTCCTCTCCTCCTCCTTCAGCTCCTCCTTCTCCCCCTCCTGCCCCCCCTCCTCCTTCCCCTCCCCCTCCCCCCTCCTCCTACCCCTCCCCCTCCCCCTCCCCCCTCCCCCCCCCCATCCCCCTCCCCCTCCCCCTGCATCTCCCCCTCCCAGACCCCCTCCTCCTCCTCTCCTCCTCCGCCGCCGCCGCCGCCTCCGCCGCCTCCTCCTCCTCCTCTTCCTCCTCCTCCTCCTCCTCATGGCGCGAGGCTCCCCCCCATGCTGCATCTTGTTGTGGGGGCCCCCAGAAGGGGTACTGACACCAACCGAGGGGGGTGCCTCCACCAGGGGAAGATGATCCTGGATTCTGGCCCTGGTGGCAGTCTCTCGGCCGCCGAAGAAGCCCGAGCATGTCCACCATCACCGAGAACGGGATAGTCTTCCCTCGGTGGAGGCGATCGCCGACATCGGTGTCGGTGCCAGCCTCCAATATGAGAACAACGCCTATGGACCTACTCTGTCTGGACCCCCTCCAGAACCCGCACCAACGCGGCACGGTGAATAATCTTTCGGATCAGAGGGCCGGAACAAGTATGCACCGTACAGCGGGACCTAGAACATAACAACATCATCAAGAATACGAGACCCTTTGCCAGCAACACTAAAGTACATTCGAGGGTAGCCTCCCCAAGGATGCACCAGAACATCCAATAAACACGACGAACACTAGAGCACCCGCTCCCCGAGCCGACCTCGATCTTATACCTCCGTCCGACTGTACCATTCCTGGCTCAAGGATCGACGACGCCTCGGGATAAGCCAACGAGGCACAGTGCACGCAAGTTGTCCGCGGATCTGGGGGAACCGAAAAGTACTGCCACCGCTACGCCCCGGACCTCTCCCGGGGTGCGCTCGAACCAGAGGTTCGAGGCGAATCCAGCGGTGGCGACGGGGGCCTCCCAGGAGGCCCCAAAATACGGATAACGAGGGAGGGGTGGCGGTTTGGGTACCTTTTCCTCCTCTAGGCGGCGCGCCCGGGGGGGGAGTGAGAAGGGTCGGGCCTGTTCAGAAGGCTCAATCGTCTTCTGGTGTTCTTAGAGGGCAGAAAATCCACCCCGATAATAATTACCCCGACACGCGAGGCCTTTAGCAAACGCGCCCAAAGAAGGAATCGAACAGGGCAGTGCTGTTTAATAAACGCCCAGGGCCGTTGGTGAACGCCAATTGTCTGGTGCGGGTGGTTGTTCCTCCCTTGACTTCTGAGAAGTTGTTCTGAGCCGTCCCCGAAGACACACAAAGAACTTCTCGGACGGCGCGGGGACCTCTGATAAGAGTCCCGCCGCCCTCTGCCAAGGCCTTCTCCTCCTCGTTCCCCCCCCCCGCTCGCCGCCGATCCCCCGAGGATCGAGGCACAAATGTGGGGAGACGAAAAAACGGCACCGATGCTGCTGCTTCCCGGACCTTTCCCTGGGTGCGTTCTGACCAGAGTCTCGAAGCGAATGCAGCGGTGGCGGCGAGGGCCTTCCCGGAGGCCCGAAAAAGGGACAACGGGCGGGGGGGTAGGAGGCATGGGCACCTTCTCCTCCTCCGAAGAGGAGCCACGGACCGAGGGCGCAGGGCGTGCAGGCGGAGCGCTGGAGCCCGGGGGGCCCGGGCGGGGCGGCAAGAGGACCGAGCTCAGGGAGGGGGCGCGGAGGGCACGGGGGGCACGGGCGGGGGGCCTGCGCGCGAGGGAGCCGTGGGGCGCGCGAGGCCGGCGACGACGAGCGAAGAGCAGACACGCACACCCCTACGAGGGGTCGGAGGGAGGAAGACTGGCTACTCGGCGGTGGACAAGCCTCCCTTTATAAAAACCTCCCTTTGGTGAAAACGGCCCAGGACTGAAACCGGCGGACCTAGACCCGCCAAAGTAACGGCCTCGGCGCCCTCTCGCAAATCGACAACGGCCAATTCACTCATCGGCGTGTCAGGGTAGGAGGTCTATCAACCTCCAAGCCACTATAGAAGAAGAAACAAACCACACAAACATAGACTTTTGGCGCTCCGCGCGGATATTCCTCGGCTCCGCGCCTGGCCCTCCGCGAAGGGGGCGCCTCCAGCGCCGCCCATGGCGCGATCCGCGCGCCAGGGAGGGGGGTCCAGCGCGAATGCAAGAAATCCGCAGGGAGCGCCAAAAGTTTATGTTTGTGTGGCTTTTCTTCTTCTATATTATGGGTATGGGTTGCCGGGCCCTGCGGGGGCTCCCGCTCGAGCGGGGACCCCCATCCGACAACGCGCACCCATGGCCCCCTCCGTCCCACCTGCGCGTGTGGGTGCGTGCTGTTCGTTCGTCAACCGCGTGCACCAGGGCTGCCAGGCCGTGTTCGGGAACGGGAGGGCACGGCTGGCTTGACCCGCGCTGGAAAAAAAACGGGCCATCGTCCCCTGGCGGAGGCTCATGAGAGAACCTCGCTTTGGCTGAAACCCACGACCAGCACATGCGTCACCGAGAGGAGGTGGAGCTCCGAATCACGGCGGGTGCCGATCGGTGCTACCAGGCGATCGCCAGGACTGCCCGATATGCTGACGTGAGGACTTGTGACGTCCAATAATGACTTGGCGACGGAACTCATCTGGAAAGATATTGGCCCACAGGAGCTCCAGGCGTTGCACCACTGAGACTGACTAGCAAGGCATGTACGTCAACCACGATTCTCAATACGAAAGGCCATGGGCCAGGAGCCCTGATCAGTGCAGAACAGCGGAGGAGCAGCCGCATCAGCAAGGTCGGAGGCAGGAGGGGAATGCGGAGGGAGACTAGAAGACGAAACAACGCCACAAACATACACTTTTGGCGCTCCGCGCGGATTTCTGGGATCTGCGCTGGGCCCCCCTCCCTGGCGCGCGGATCGCGCCAGGGGCGGCGCCGGAGGCGCCGCTGGGAGATGCCAAGGCGCAGATCCAAGCAATCCGCGCGGAGCGCCAAATGTCTATGTTTGTGTGGTCTGTTTCTTCTTCTATAGTAGCCAGTCGCGTCCTCCTCCCCCTCCTCCTCCTCCTCCTCCTCCTCCTTCTCCTCCCCCTCCTCCTTCTCCTCCTCCTCCTCCTCCTCCTCCTCCTCCTCCTGGGTATAGCGTTTTTTTCTTCTTCGAGAGACGGGGCGAAGAGGACGAGGGGGAGGCGCCCGCGAGGTGGGGGGCTCCACCGTGGCAGCCGTGCGGCGGAGGCCCCACCCCAGATCGGCAGGGCTCGGGGGGAAGGGCGCCCGCCACAGAGACTCGGTGCTTCGGTTCCTTCTCCTCCTCCTCCTCCTCCTCCTCCTCCTCCTCCTCTTCTCTCCTCTTCCCTCAACTTCCCTCCTCCTCTTCCTCCTCCTCCTCCTCCTCCTCCTCTTCCTCCTCCTCCTCGTCCTCGTCCTCCTCCTCCTCCCCCTCCTCGTGCTGTTCCTCGTGCTGCTCCTCCTCCCAACCGCTCTCCAGGATGCCGCGACGAGAGAAAGGGACGAACGGCGCGTGCACGCCGCAGAAAGCCGGGGGGCCTTCGAGATGCTCACGAGGTGGGACTGCTTCCGCGCCTCGCCGTCCGAGGCGGGCGTCGAGGCCGTGGACGGTGCTGCAGGATGTTTGAGTCTGCACGCGCGGCGAGGTGGCTGTCGGGCATGCCTGGCCCTTTGGCCTTGCCAGAGCGCGGCTAGTCGCGCGGCAACTGCATCACTTTCAGGCAGGCGCCGTGCATACGTGCCGCAACCGGCGGCGCGCCGAGGGGGGGGGGGGGGGCGAGATGGGGCAGGCCTCCTCAGGGTGGGGAAGGACATACTGGGATCAGGTGCTGATGCTGGAGGCGCGCGCCTGACAAGAACCTACAACACGCAAGTCCCCACCGAAGGTCCCAGTGCTACCGTCCGCATGCGTCCCGCACACCCAGTACAGCGTTTCGTGGCCCCATGGGGAGCTCCACCGAAGGCCCCAATGCCCCTGTCCGCAAGCGTCCCGGAAGCCCAATTTGGCATTTTCACCCACCCAGTGCAGCGTTTCGTGGCCCCATAGGGGGCTCTCCACCAAAGGCCCCAGTGCCACCGTCCGTATGCGTCCAGGAAATGTGATTTGGCATTTTCACTCGCACAATGAAGCGTTTCGTGGCCCCATGGGGTGCTCCACCGAAGCCCCCAATGGGACAGTCCGCATGCGTCCCGGAAACCCAATTTGGCATTTTCACCCACTCAGTACAGCGCTTCGTGGCCCCATAGGGAGCTCCACCGAAGCCGTCAGTGGGACCGTCCGCATGCGTCCCAGAAACCCAATTCGGCACACCACCCACACAGTACAGCGTTCCCCCCCGCCCAGTGCAGCGCTTCGTGGCCCCATAGGGAGCTTCACCGAAGCAGATATTCAGAATTACGGTACCCACAACTGCATATGGTTGGGACATTCGCCAGGATCTTTTTTTGTTTTTTTTGGGGGGGGGATGCCGCGCCTCCCGCCCACGACCCGCGTTGGGTCGGGCATGTCCCCCTACAGGCGGATTTTTGACGAACAATCAAACATACCCTAAAACTAATACTCCAAAAATGCCCCCCCCAAAAAAATAGGCAAAACATCGTCCCCCCGAAGACTTGTTGGACTATTTTTGAATATTCCTCCTGTAGAGGGACAGGCTCGACTTAGGACATAAACCCGATGTGTTAAAACAAGACAGTCTCAGCCTGAGATGTTCTAAGAGCATTTCGTGCAGACCACAACAGGATCTTAGAACTCTCTCTATGCGGTGGGCCTATAGGCAAGCCAGGACGCTTCGCCACTGCTTGAGCTGGGGATGCGACGTCTCCCGCCCAGGACGCGATGCCGCCCCAATCACGCGCAAGACGCGCACTAGAGGCCTCCTAGATGGGTTCGGAGTAGATGGGGTCGGAGGATCGCGCCGCACCGTTGATGTATCGGCGATGCATCGGCGATGTATCGGCGATGCACCGGCGATGCATCGTCAGCGTCGGCGATGCAGCGGCGACGTCGACGTGAAGCAAATCGGCCTGCACATCGACCCGCATCGTCGATGCATCGGCGATGCGGCGCGATCCTCCGACCCCATCTACTCCGACCCCATCTAGGAGGCATAGAAACATGAGGGCGGTGGAGGGAAGGGGGCGCCCGCCTGGCGACCGGCCGGGCGGCGCGGACTCGTCGTGGCCCCCCCGGCGCGGGCCGTCCGCCGCCCCGCGGGCGCCTGGCGAGCGGGCCCGCGAAGGGGCGGGCCCGAGGGGGGCCCTCCCCTCCCTCCCTCCCTTCTCCTCCCCTCCCCCTCCCTTCCCTCCCCTCCCTCCCTCCCTCCCTCCCTCCTCCCCTCCCCCCCGTCCCCTCCCCCCCCGCCCCCCCCCTCCCTCCCTCCCCCCCCCTTCCTCCCTCCCTCCCCGCCTCCCCCCTCCCCGGCATAGACCAACAAGTTTTTTTGGGTGGGCCACAAATTCGCCTGACGAAGGACCCAACCATATACAGCTGTGAATACCGCAATTGTGGATATCTTCTTCGGTGGCACTCCCTATGAGGCCTGGGTGGGTGAAACGCAGGGAGCAACAGGCTGTGCTGGGTGGTGGCGGACGCATGCGGGCGGTGCCACTGGGACCGTCCGTGGAGCTCCCAGTGTACCCACGAAACGCTCTACTGGGTCGGTGAAGCGCAGGGAGCAAGGGCTGTGCTGGGTGGTGGCGGACGCATGCGGGCGGTGCCACGGAGACCTTCGGTGGAGCCCCCCATGGGGCCACGAAGCGCTGTACTGGGTCGGTGAAACGCAGGGAACAAAAGCTGTGCTGGGCGGTTGCGGACGCATGCAGGCGGTGCCAGTGGGACCTTCGGTGGAGCTCCCTATGGGGCCACGAAGCGCTGTACTGGGTGGGTGAAACGAATGGAGCAATCGCTGTACTGGGTGATGGCGGACGCATGCGGGCGGTGCCACTGGGACCTTCGGTTGAGTTCCCTGTGGGGCCACGAAACGCTGTACTGGGTGGGTGAAACGCAGGGAGCAAGGGCTGTGCTGGGTGGTGGCGGATGCACGCGGGCGGTGCCACGGAGACCTTCGGTGGAGCCCCCCATGGGGCCACGAAGCGCTGTACTGGGTGGGTGAAACGCAGGAAGCAAAAGGCTGTGCTGGGTGGTGGCGGACGCATGCGGGCGGTGCCAGTGGGACCTTCGGTGGAGCTCCCGATGGGGCCACGAAACGCTGTACTGGGTGGGTGAAACGCTAGGAGCAAGGGCCGTGCTGGGTGGTGGCGGACGCATGCGGGCGGTGCCAGTGGGACTTTCGGTGGAACTCCCTATGGGGCCACGAAGCGCTGTACTGGGTCCGGTGATACGCACGGAGCATGGGCTGTGCTGGGTGGTGGCGGACGCATGCGGGCGGCGCCACTGGGACCTTGAGTGGAGCCCCCCCATGGGGCCACGAAGCGCTGTACTGGGTCGGTGAAACGCAGGGAACAAAGGCTGTGCTGGGCGGTTGCGGACGCATGCAGGCGGTGCCAGTGGGACCTTCGGTGGAGCTCCCTATGGGGCCACGAAGCGTTGTACTGGGTCGGTGAAGCACAAGGAGGAGGGAGGAGGAAGGGTGAAGACCAGGCGAAAAGGAGAGGAACGCGGGGACCGTCTCTTCAGAACGAAGACCCAACACCAAAGGATGATTGGGAAACAATTCTTTGGTCTTGGCAAAAACAATGAATGTTCTCTGGTCCTCTCAATAAACTCGTTTTTTGGATGCAACCCCATCTTCAAGCCGCCGACAGGCGCTGGGCTGCCGCGCATCTGGCCCGCCCGCCCAGAAGATCGCCACGACTTGGTCGGTCGACCGCGGAGCTGATGGCGGGCGGCGGAGCCCGATGGCGCGTGGCCTAACCAGCCTCGAACTTATCCCTATCCCCTAGGACTGGCAAGCCCCAACCCAAGGTCTTTTGGCCCAGCGGCGCCCTAGCTGGATGCGGGTTCATTCTTCTCGCCCGCGCATGCAGCTTCGTTTCGCCCGCACGCGCGACAGGAACACGAAACCGAACCCGATTTCCCCGTGGAGGGCTTTCCGTTTCACTGCGATATCACCCCATCACCTCCGATCCCTACCAGTGACAAACGCAAAGGCGATGACAATCTTAGGGCTGCGCCCTCAGAGGCGAAGGCAACCCGTGAGATCGGCATCGAGAAAGAGAGAGAGAGAGAGAGAGAGAGAGAGAGAGCGACGCCACTCACAGGGGTAAGGACATGCTCCAAGCCAAAACGACGAAGGTGCTCACGGGGCAACACCGACACGTTCGCGACGTAAAGAAACGGGCAATTATGGCCCGAGATGGAACAGCGGCCTGACGCCGCGGCTTACGCCGGCCGGCCGCGTGGCACGCCGCGTGGGGAAGAGGGCGCCCACGCGCGACCCGACGCGGGCAGCTCACGCGCGAATCTCGGCGACGACGCCCCTGCTTTTGCGCGTCACGCGTGCGTCGTGCAAGAGCGGGCCCAGCCCGCTCGGAAACTGCCCCGGGGAACCGCGCGCCGTGGGAAAAGCGGATCCCGAGGTTTCTAGCCGCGGTTAACGCCCCGCCGCCCCCTCGGAGGCGGCCAAAAGGGGTGCGTCAAAGAGGGGGGGCCGCAAATCATGGCTGGCGGCACGTGCGCGGCCCAGGGGGCGGGGGGGCCGGGGACGTATTGAAATAAGAAGAGACGCCATGAAGCCTGGGGAGACATCATGGCCCCCGCCATGATATCCCCCCCCCTGGTCATCACCCCCCTCTTTGCGACGGGGCCCCCCGAGTGGCGGGACAGGACGCCCTCTCCATGCCAAGTGATGCTCTCCTCCCTCTCTCCTGCTGCTCTGCTCTGCTCTGCTCTGCTCTGCTCTGCTCTGCTCTGCTCTGCTCTGCTCTGCTCTGCTCTGCTCTGCTCTGCTCTGCTCTGCTCTGCTCCTCCTCTCCTCCTCCCCCTCCTCCTCCTCCCCTCTCCTCTTCCTCCTCCTCCTCCTCCTCCTCCTCCCTCCTCTCCTCTCCTCCTCCCCTTCCTCCGCCTCCTCCTCCTCCTCCTCCTCCCCCTCCTCCTCCTCCTCCTCCTCCCTCCTCCCTCCTCCCTCCTCGCCCTCCCTCCTCTCCTCTTCTCTGCCCCTCTTCTCCTATCTTCGCTTCTCTTCTCTGTTCGTCTCTTCTCGTCCCTGCGCCCTACGCAGGGCGCAGGAGCCCGCGTCTCGGGCAGAGGTTGGCGGAGGCACCTATCTCCCCCAGCGCGTGGGGGCTTCAAGAGGGCGGGCGTAGGAGAGGTCTTCCTGCTCCTCGCGCTGCTGCTCCTCGTGCTCTTCCTCGCCCTCCTCCTATTTCTCCTCCTCATCGTGCCCATCCTCCTCGCCGTCCGCGGCCATGGCGGACCCGGCGGCTCTGCAGGGGCTGCCTGCAGCGACCCGGTCCACGTCCTTCACGCCGCCGCGGGCCGGCCCCGTGTTGAAGCCGACCCAAAAAAAAACTTCGCCGTGCGCAGCCGACGCAGCTCTTATCCGGGGCCCCGCCAGATCTTGGGAACGAGCCTGAAGCAGCACCCACGAGGGATAGGAAGGGCCCCGAGCGAGACACGCGGGCGACAGGCAGCAGAAGCAAATGCTCGAACAAGGAAGGGGTGTGCCCATCCGGAATGTTTCTCAGCACCCGGGGTGGAGGGCGCCACTCCACCCGGGCGCCGGCGACAGGGCACACCCCTAAAAAGCAGCAGCGGCGAGGCAGCAGGGAGAGGGAGAGGGAACCAGGAGGGGCCGGGAGACGGAGGCGACGGGGCCGCGGCCGTGTGGCGTGCGCCACCGAACCACACCGTTAGGCGCCACGCGCCACCGCCGGAGGCAAGGAGAGGGGAGGGAGGGAGAGAAGCGAATGAAAAGGCAAAAGGGCGGCACTGGCAGCCAAAACGACTACGGAGGAAAGAGCAGCCAAAACCACCGAGGAGGAGCGAGGCGAAGGAGGAGAAGGACGCGGCGGAGGCGGAGGAGGGGAAAGAGGGAGAAGAGGTTTCTAAGTAGTAAACGAGATGCGGCGTCGACGCCTCGTTGCGCCCGTCGCCAGGGCCGGGCAGGACGTCCGCCGCGGCCGCGGCTGGGCCCCCGCGCTGCCCAGCAGCATGGCGGCCACGCCCCGCTGCAGCGCTGTGGCCAGCCGCTGGCGGACATCTGCCAGGCTGGCAGCGCGCCGCTCGTCCGCGGGCGCTTGCGCCCGCAGGAACGCCCAGAACTCGCGGCCCATCTGGCCGCCAGTTTCCAGCGCGGCCGCAACCGGGCCTGGCCCTGGGTAGTGGCGGTGCTTCTCCTGCTCGCGCTCGCGCGCCGCTGCCCCGTCGGCCCGCGCCCCTGCCCGCGCTGTGGCGTTGTCGGCAGAAGGTGCCTCAGCGACGCTGACATCAACAGCCACGCGCCCAGAATCGGTGATCAGAATGGCGTCTAGGACGGCTTGTTCAATGCCCTGTCGCGTCATCCGGTCCCACCCTGGGACGTGCTGCTCTGTCAGCACAGAGTCTCCGTCGCCAACCTCCCGCAGCCACGCTGCGAGGACGTCCTGGCACCCGTTGTGACGGCGCACGAAGCCGGGGCCTTTGCGGCAGTACGCGGCGTGGACGCCATAGCGCCTCCTGGACACGCATCCGCAGAGCGCACCCGTGGTCGTCGCACGGTGCGCGCACGGCGCTCCGCCGCTCGCCGCGGGGTCTGCGACCAGGAGGCGGCGCCGGAGGCTGACGATGAAATCGTCGTCGCCGAACAGGTGTTCCGTCCTGCGCGGTGGCCACAGCCAGGCGCCGCCCTCTCCGCCAGCGCTGCGGACCAGGGCAGCCCCGTCGTTGTCGCCCTGGCTTGTCAAACGTCGCGACAGGTCGCGGTAAACCCGCCGGGTCGCTGGCTGCAGCACTTCTTTCTGGGTGCTCGCAAAGGTCGCCGCGCCAGCGGCGCCGAGGCGGGCCCTTGCTGTCGCCAGCGCTGCAGTGAGTCGGGGCGTCGCTGCGCGGGCGGCGGCCTCGGTCGGCAGGCCCTGGTCGGCCCTCACGGCGTCCTCCACCGCGGCCCAAGATGCCACCCAAGCACCGTCGGCCCGCAGCGCCGCGCTCTGGAAGCCCGCGCCCCCGAGTTTCAGTGGGAGGAAGAGCAGCACTTTGCTGTCCTCCTCCTCCTCCTCCTCCTCTTCCTCCTCCTCCTGTTCCACACCACCACCACCACCGCCGCTCCCCCCCACATCATTGCCCCCATCATGGCCCTGCTTCTCGCCCCCCCCCTCCCTCTCTCTCCTTCTCTCTCGCTCCCCCTCCTCTGGGAGAGCCTGAAGCACCACGAGCGCGGGGGCAACTCTCAAGGCAGACCTGCCGGTTTTCGCGGGAGCGGCCAAGAAGGGGGTGTCCAAGACGGGGGGGGTGCAAATCATGACCGGCGGCATGTGCGCGGCCCAGCGGGGGGGCCAGGGACGCATTAAAACAAGAAGGAGCGCCATGAAATCTGGGGAAATATCATGGCCCACGCCATGATATCCACCCCCCCTAGTCATCACCCCCCTCTTAGCCGCCCCCGATGTTCGCCTTCAAGAGGCTCTGCAAGGTTCGGTGCCGCGACGTGCCTCGCTGTAGATGTGCACTCCGCCCATGCTGCAGTCTTCGCAGAGGAACGGCATCCGATAAGTGAGGTGGGCACCGCCCGTCGCAGAAATATAATGCTTCGATCTGTCATCCTTCCAGCGCCCCGCCCAAATAATCCATCCCATTGCTGAACTCGCGTCGCTCCTGGCCTCCTGCTGCCCCATCCAAACGGCATGCACTCTTGTTCTCGCCGCAGTTGCCCGGGAAATCTCGTACTGACGCCCATGCTTAATTCGTGTCCTTTGAGGATTAAGCAACGGATCAGCTACTCTGAGTCGCGCCCACCTGTGCCATACTACTATGTCGTGTCATGTCCTGGGAGGCGGCCAACTGTGAAACACGATCGGATGCAGGTCTATTGTGATATGATTGAGAAGTGGACGCAAAAAAATGATCGTTCAGCGTGGATCCCTCACAAACACCTTCCTGCAAAAGGCAGGGAATCCACCACGAACGCGAAACGTTCCTTGGGCTCATCAACATCGAAATCGATCTCTTGACCAGGCGGCGAATGTGATGTGGGTATGCGTCCATGGACGCCCACTGCTCGCACACAGAATTCATGAAGACTGCTAGCCTGGCCATCCGATCCGCGAAACTACATGTGGCTCTGGCGACGGACCCTCCGAGCCCAACAACCTCGGTAAATCCATGCTCCCATCCAGTGTGCTTGCAAGCCGTCGCGCGAACTGCCACAGTCCTGCCCCTCCTGGAAAAATGCGCCGTCTTTTACCGAACTCGGACAAACCATGCTGCTGAATTACGGGGCCATCTTGAATCACGTGCTTCCTCCGGTGAAGGCCACATGCCCTGTTCTACAAGTGCACCATATGAGTGCTACCCTGCTCTCTCCCCTGATACTGTGTTGGTTTGCCGCCGCATTTCCAGCTTATGACATGCTGCGCACAATATTCCAAGCCTTGGTCGCGATGTGTGTTTGTCAGTCTGAATGTCTTCGGCCCCTCAGAGAACCTGCTGCTGATCAAGTCGTGGCCAAATTTCAGAACGGCGATCTGATTCCGCCGTTCAGACTGGCTCTCCCGCCCCAGCGCGGACCACATTCCTTGATCCGATCCATTCCTCGTCGTGGCCGTCCCCCTGCATGCGACTCCTCCGCCTTCCACTGATCCTCTTGCTCCGCGTGCAGCTCCTCTTCCTTCCTCCTCCTCCTCCTTCTGCTGCTCATCCGCCTCATCCTTGACACAAGCCCCCTCATTTCCAATTGTCAGGCACGCGATGAGTCAAGTTCTGCAACTCCCGCCTGGAGATGAAGGAACATGAACAAACCCAACGGGAAGGGACGGGTGACAGGGGTAGGACGTCAGGAGTGCTGCGAGCGCACCGAGCTTGCCTTAATTCCTCACCTCCTCTATCCTTCTCCTCCTCCTCATCCCCTTCCTCCTCCTCCTCCTCATCCCCTCCCTCCTCCTCCTCCTGCTCCCTCCTCTCCTCCTCCTCCTCCCTCCTCCTCCTCCTCCTCATCCTCCTCCTCCTCCTGTCCTTCTCCTCCTCCTCATCCCCTTCCTCCTCCTCCTCCTCCTCCTCCTCCATTCCCTCATTCGGCCCGCGCGCCTCAGAGTCAGAGCCTGCTGAGGCTAGGCAGTGCGGGCGCAGGCCGACATCTACATGCACCACACTCGATACCTGTCAGAACAAACGCCAAAAACTGTAAAAAACAATGGGACATCAACACGAAACGGACATGTTGGCTCGTGCCTGCTCCAACCGCGATCGTGGAGGCTGTGCTGATGCCATACGCAATCTACATCCACGCGGGAGCGCTCTTCAACTCTCTGGCCCCTCGATCTGTCAACGACCACGCACGTTTCGGCAAATCTAGATCCAGCGCGACACTTCGCGCATCAATTTGAAGATATACCGCACAAGCTGTATGTGTCGAGATATCAAATAATCAAATAAGTGTTTGGAGCACGGCAGCAAATTCGTTTGCACTCCCAGGGCACCGTGCAGACCCAGCTTGGCGTGTCTCGCCAGGGCCTCCCTCGTCTTCGCGAGCTCGTCCTGCATGGCGGTTAGACCAGCCTCAGAGGCGCGTCCAACGAAACAAGATGGCAATCAACAAGGAGCGGAAACACAAACTTCTGGTCAGTTAGGCATCGCACCGTGCACGTTGGCAATGCCTACTGAGCAACATGTGCATCTGTCGTTGCGGCGCCAATATTCATGTTGGATGAGAAAGTGGCAGATGACCGATATGATCATGGCGATGGGCGATCATTCTAATGGGTGTAGGTCCATTTTCGGCCCCTGCGATTTCGGCGCTGGAAGGGTCAAAACACGTCCTCGACTGAGCACGACTGATCTGAACATCCTGCCATAAGTTCTTCCGAAAGCATTGATTGTGTGCGCTTGTGTGTACACACCCCTATAAAGGCTACGTAAGATATTATTTTCTCAATTGGAGGTGACGCGTGTTACGGGGGGGGGACAGGGGGGGGGACGGCAACGGCATCCGCGGCGTGCACCTTTCAAGGCGACCCGCAGTACCGGCGCAACAGTGGCCTGTGTGCACCAGTCCCTGTGTACACGACAGCGCCTGCGTGCACCACAGCGCTTGTGTACACCACAATCGCTGCGAGGCCCAAACTGTGAAAAATTGTGGTGTGTTCGAATGCATCATATTCAGATGTGCACGTTGTTTGTGATTTCTCATTCCTCTGGCCCGCAATGCCCGCAATGCCTGCGTGCACCACAGCACCTGTACACCGTGATGCTTCTGCAAACACAGCTGCCGTGTGCACCACAGTGCCTGACGACTGCGACCACCACCATGTTTGTGTAAGCAGCAGAGACTGGATACGCACTACAAGGTCCTAGAGGGACCCAAACTCAAGAAATCGTTATTGATGTTTCTGGCATCGGGCACGGCCCGCATTTTATTTGGGCCTGCAAGGCCTTCGTGCACCAAAGCGCCGGTGCTCAATACAATGCTTGCGCCATCACAGACGCCGTCTGCACCACTGTCCCTCGCGCTTGTGTGCACACCTCTGTGCACCACAAAACCCATGTATACCTCGAAAGTCCCGACGGGGAGCAACAAGTCCGGAAAATCGTATCCAGCTCACACAGGCATCGCATTCAAAATTATACACTGCGTGGAGCTCCCCATATGTGAATATATTAGCATGGACCTGTCCGCCGTAAGCGTCTAGGTGCAAGGGTTTTCGAAGATAAGCGGGCTTGAATAGTGACGGCCTGGGAGTGAATCTAACTGCGGATGAGTTGGAGTGTGAATAAGTCTCAGTTTTACGAGCGCGTCTCTGCGCATGAGCCTGGGGCCTCCTGGGGCCTCCTGGGGCCTCTTGGGGCTTCCTGGTGCCTCCTGGAGCCCCCTTAGGGCCCCCTGGGTCGTCTTGGGGCTTCCTGTGGCCTCATGAAGCTTCCTGGGGCCTCTTGCGGCCTCCTGGGGCCTCCTGGAGCCTCCTGGGGTCTCCTGGGGAGGATTCGTGCCCCAAGAGATGCCCAATCTATAGGAACAGACGTACATAAAACACTGCGGATAGGAGCCACAAGAGAAGAACCATCTATAGGAACATACGTAAATCACGGAGGACTCGTTTTTCAGCGGAGGCATAATCTAAAGAAGCAAACGTACAACACATGGGATTGGAGCCACTCCTGTGGCCTTCCGATGCATCCTGCTCCTGGGGCCTCTTAGGGCCTCCTGGACCCTCTTGGGGCCTCCTGGGGCCTCCTGGAGCCTCCTGGGGCCTCCTGAGGCCTCCTGCGGCTTCCTGATACCTCCTGGTACCTCCTGTGGCCTCCTGGAACCTCCTGGGGCCTGCTGTAGCCTGCTGGAACCTCCTGTGTCATCCGTCTGACCAGCAGAATAGGCAAACCGCTCGAGACGTCCTCAGAACTTGCCCCCCCTTGGGGGCGCCATCCTCCGAATCTGCTCCGAAAGCTGAGGATGTCGGGAACCACAACAGGCACCCCGCAACGGCAGTGCCCAGGAACACCCATGTCAAGGAACACCCCCTCAAGTGGAGACCCACGCCAAGGAGCACCCTGCTTGCCTCCAGGGTGCCCTGGGTGTCTTGGGCTTCGATGGTCTTGCTATATGGGCAGCGTGACGTGGCCACACCACAAATCGGTGGACGCCCTGGGGTCTCAGGGTTGGAAGGTTTTCTGGAGCTGGACATTTTTGAGCATTTGGCGCAGTACTTGAGCATGCTGTGTTTTTGCTGTCAGGGTGGAATGTATGTTTGAGCATTTGGTGGCCATTTTTTGGAGCGCCATGTTGGAAGGTTTCTTGTGGTCGAGCACCTTCGGGGACCTTCTGACCCGGGTCAATCCAGACCCGGGTCAGCAGGAAACCGAAAACTGCAATGCAAGAAACAAAAACTGCAACGCAGATCCTCGCAAACCAGGGTCAGCCAATACGCGCGGCCGCCTCGCGGCCACGAGCGGCTCCCTGACCCGGGTCAGCCAGAGGGGGCCTTTGCAGGATCCTGCAGGATCCGGCGCCCTGGCTGACCCCCGTTTGCACTGGCCCCCGTCTCGAGGCTCCCGACACCTGCTGCAACGGCAGTGCCCGGGCCTCGAGGGAGAGGGGCAGCTCCCCCGGGCGGCGCCGTGCCCCCAGCGGCTCGGGGCCTCCGCCCCAGCGGCTCCCCCGGGGCCTCCCAGGCGGTGTCCGGCCGGATGGGGTCGGAGGATCGCGCCGCATCGTCTGCGCATCACCGGTGCATCGGCGACGCATGGGCGACGCATGGGCGCGGACAAGATCGGGCTCCACATCGAGCCGCATCGGTGATGCATCCGCGATGCGGCACGGTCCTTCAGCCCCCTCTACTCGGACTGCACGAAGCCTTCCACGAGAAACCCAACCCTGAGACCCCAGGGCGTCTATGGACTTGTGCTGTGGCCACGTCACGCTTCCCATAGCAAGACCATCGAAGCCCAAGACACCCAGGGCACCCTGGAGGCGAGCAGGGCGTTTCCTGGCATGGGTCTCCACTTAGAAGAAAAGCAAACCACATTAACATAAACTTTTGGCGCTCCGCACGGATTTCTTGGATCCGCGCCTGGGCCCCCCCCGGCGGCGCCTCCGGCGCCGCCCCTGGCGCGCTCCGCGCGCCAGGGAGGCGCCGCCGGGGGGCCCAGGCGCGGATCCAAGAAACCCGCGCAGAGCGCCGAAAGTTGATGCTCATGTGTTTGTGTTCTTGTTCGACCACTGCAGAATCATGTAGTAGTCTTAAGTCGGGCCTCTCCCCCTACAAGTGGATTTTCGACGAAAAATAAAACATACCGCAAAAATGCCCCAAAAAGGTCAAAACATATTTCAAAAATACTCCCCAGATTATTTGTACTACGTTTTGATTATTTTGGGTGTATTTTCTATTTTTCCTTGAAAATCCCCCTGTAGGGGGACAGGCCCGACCTAATAGTAGTCCCTCCCACAGCGACCGGTGCGCGGCACGGCCAGCCACGGGCGCAGGGGGGGTGCGCCGCCTCGGCGCGCGGCGGGCGCCTCGTGCTCCCCGTGGGGGGCCGCAGGGCAGCCGGGGTCGGCTTGGAGTCCCGAAGCGGTGCGGTGACAGCCCGTGCGGTGTTCGGTTTCTTCTGCGTCTTCTTCTTCCTTCTCCTCCTCCTCCTCTTCCACCTCCTCCTCCTCTTCCTCCTCCTCCTCCGCCTCCTCCTCCTCCTCTGCCTCCTCCTCCTGCTCCTCCTCCTCCTCCTGCTCCTCCTTCTCCTGCTCCTCCTCCTCCTCCTCCTCCTCCTCCTCCTCCTCCTCCTCCATCCTTTCTCCATATGAATACCTTCTCTCTGTCGCACCCCAAGACCTCACCGCACGGTCCGTCAACGCACGGTCTTGGAGTGAGGCGAAGCCAGCGAGCGAGCGAGCGAGCGTGCATTGCACCAGGCGGCGCGTAAGCAGGGAGAGGAAAAGAGAACAAGGCCGTCGCCGAGGAAAGAGAAGGGCCGTCTGCTCGGACCACGATGGGACGCACAGGGACATACTAGTACTATATGTCCTCCTTGGAGGCGCGCGTCCGACCCGAACATCTAGTATACCCATCTTGTAGTATATCGTTTCCCGAGCGGGGCGGGCTGAAAGCGCCCGCAACGACACATATACTATAAGATTTCTCGGTGCGCGCGTCGCCCCTGGGGGGGAGACGCACATATAGTATAACTATGTTGGGGTGACGCGGACACAAGAAACCGTCCACGAGAAACCCAACCCTGAGACCCCAGGGCGTTCATGGACTTGTGCTGTGGCCACGTCACGCTTCCCATAGCAAGACCATCGAAGCCCAAGACACCCAGGGCACCCTGGAGGCGAGCAGGGTGTTTCTTGGCATGGTTATCCAATGTAAGCCAAGACGAGGATAAACTCGGGTGAGGACAGATCGAGAATCTCTGAGATCTGGGGGCACTGGAGGATGTCTCAGGCGTCGCGGCCTTCTCAGAGCGTTCTTGAACGCGCTGAGAGCGTTCCGTAACGCTCTGGAACGGATTTATCCTCGTCCTGGCCCCGTCCGAGGGAGGCTTCCGTGAGAAAGACTACAAACTATTGAGCCCGATTGATGGACCATTAAACTGGATCGCCCCAGATAAAGCCCACAATGTAGGCAGATCGATCTGGATAAAGCAGGCATAGCCTGGATTAAACGTGACTGTGCCGGATCAGGCCCGTTGTCGACAACGGCTATACCAGCGTCGATGCTGAACTCAACCTCCCAGCAGTTGCATTCTAAGGGGGGGCCCGAGTTAGGGCAGCAGGGCGCAACCCTGTTGGCCGGAAAAAGGCGGCGACCGAAGGCGGGGTCGAGTCGTGGCACGGTCTCGGTCGCGCCTTCAAGGCGTCCACCTCCGCTGCGTGCACCCGCTCCTTCTCCAGCCTCTCCCTGTCCTGCTGCCTGCAGGCGGCTGCTCGTCGCTCGCAATGCGCGAGCTCGATGGCAGCCACCTTGGCCTCGAGCGCCTCGACGCGGCGTTTTTGCCAGCTCCAGACATCATCAATGCAACTGTGTGTGCGTGTACACGCATGTCACACTTGCGCATACGTGCAGAACAGAGTCTCATATTCAACACATCAGAAGCATGCGCGCTTATGGTCACAAGCATGGCTAACGGTGGTGCGCATTAGTGTTGCAACGGGTGTGGATGTTCGGCAACCTGGACGTGATTGTGTGGGACAGTGTGCAGGGAAAGGCCAAGTCTGGGTTCGGAGTTGGACCGAGGAATCTGCGCAGGTACGAGTGCACGCATGCAAATGGTTGCGAGTATCTGTTGAACAAGGCGGCCAAGGAATACGTATCGCCAGGCTTATCCGCAGTTTTCTTGGATGAGGGCACGAATGTATGATGGCATGGCCGTCTGTATTGTGTACGCGGTGTCGTGAGTATCGGATCGCCTCGGGGCAATGTGATGGACAACCATTGGTGAGGGCGACCTGCCTTGGCAAATGTATGGTGGCGGGCTGGGATGCGAAAATATGTGTAAGGGCGTGCCGCTGGGATGGTTTTGTGGAAACAGCTATGAGAATGCGGAAACTCGATCCAGGTATCCACATCTGAGAAGAACTCTTTTCGGACCCTCTTGCGACCCCCAAGGGCCCTTTTCGAACACACCCTCTAGAACCCGTATTCATTATCTCGGGGGTGCCTTGGGGCCCTCTTTGGACCCTGTGCGGGCTCTATAGTGGTCCAGCTTGGGGCCCTATTGGGCTCTCTTGGAGCAGCCTGAAGGCTGCCTGACTCTCTTGGGGCCCAAGGAGAGAGCTGTGGAACTGCAGAAAAGGAGGACGCCCAAGAGGAGGAAAGAGAGCGAGAGAGATGAGGTAACGAAGAGCGAGGGAGCGGGGAGGAGGAGGCTCTTTGGATACCTGTATGGGTCTCGTGGGATGCATCTTGGAGGCCTGGGGCCTCTTGGGGGTCTCTTTTGGCTCTCTTTCGAGCCTCCTGGGGGGCCTCTGGACGCCTCTTGTGGGCCTCTTAGGGGCATCTTGGGGGCCTGTTGGCGGCCTCGGGGGTCACCTTGGGACGGAGGAATCAAAATGTCATCTCGGCTTCCCTCTCTTAGGCCCCTCTCGAGCCCTCTCGGGCTGTCATCGGGGGCTTCTCGTGGGCCGTCTTGGGGCCCTCTTGAGCGAACTGGGGGCCTGTTGGGGCCGTCTTGACGCTCTCGTGGGGGTCTCCTGGAAGCTTCTTGGGCTGCCTTGGGCCGTCGGAGGCTATCGAGAGCGACAGCGGTACAACCCTTCCAAACCTGACATGCATCCAACATGTTTGGCCTGCTGAGGGCCTCTTAGGGCCGCGCCCAGGGCTCTCTTGGGGCGTCTCAGGCAGGGGCCTCTTGGGCAGCGATGAGGCCACCTGGAGCCCTCTTGGAGCGCTTTTGGATCGTCTCGGGGTCCTCTCGGGCCTCTCTTGGGCCGTCTTGGGGGTATCTGAGGCTGTCTGGGAGGCCTCTTGGACCGTGTTCAGGCCTCCCTGGAGGCCGCAGGGAGGGGATATCACAACATGCCGGCCGATGTTCCCTTGATGGAGGCCCCCGGGCTCGATGCACGCCCACGTATACATTATATATATATATATGTATATACAGATGTAGATGCACATATCGTATGTATCAGAAACGTCACGCGCGCTTCGCGCGCGCTCAGGCTCAAACGCAAACCAGGGGGGTCGTTGGAATGGCTTGGTCAACGCTTTCATGCACAAGCCCCGCACATAGTCGTAACCATCCTCGCCCTCATCCGCGTTCCCGTCTTCGCCCTCATGTTCATCCACATCATCCTACTCGTGTCATCATACTACACATAATGATCATACTACTCACCAGCATCAGCAACAACAACGACATCATTGGGAGCCTCATCATCACCACCACCATCATCATTATCATCATCACCACCAACATTATCATCATCCTCAGCCTCATCATCAACATCACCATCAACATACTCACCACTACCGTCATCGTCGTGCTCATCATTGTGTTCATCGTCATCATCATCAGCAGCATCATCATAGTCATCATCTTCATCATCACTGTCCCAATCTACATCCGAATTGTCATATTCAGTATCACTCCCATCATAATTATCATCAACACCACTACTCTGATGGTGCACATCGCCACTGTCATCGTCTTACCCATCTTCCTCCTCATCATCACAAAAACGAACATCAACATCGCCATCGTCGTCGACGGCCCGAGTTTCCTGGAGAGGCCCCTCGGAACACCCGGCCGACTTTTCGCCTCGGGTAGCTTCTGAGAGGCGTTTAGATTTTTTGTTTGGGGGGGGTGGTGCGGTCTCTTGGAAGTTGTTTGTAAGTTGTCGTGGGGCCCTCCTCCTCCTCCTCCTCCTCCTCCTGTGCTTTCGGGGGCCCCTGGGGCCATCTGGCGGGCATCTGGAAGTCTGCGAGGGCTGCCTACCGAGAGCGAGAAGACGGGCTCGTGTGCGAAGGTCATCGAAGGATTTCGACGTCCCATTGGACTCTCAGAAGCCACTTGGGGGCATCTGGGAAGCCACTTGGGGATCTCTTGGTCATGCATTGGGGCCTCGAAGGGGCTTCGCAGGCCGTGTTGGGGCTAAGTTGGTCCGTCTGACGCCCTCGGAAGCCGTCAGGCTGGGTTTTCCGACATCATTTGGGTGGTTTTGGTTGCCAAGATGATGATCGTCACCAGCATCGTTGGCGCCACCATTCTTAACAGCATCCGCATCATTAGCATCGTCACCATCATTGTCTTCATCATCTTCGTCGCCCTCAACATCATGAATGACATCGTCGTGAACGCCGTCGACAGTATCAACATCAATATCTGTAGCACCACCATTAGAACAATAATCAGCATCGTCATCAGCAACAACCATCATCAACATCGCCATCACCTCAATAACCAACACAATCACCATCATCATCGTCATCACCATCCTCCTCAGGATCAGCATCCTCAGCAGCATCACCATCATAATCAGCATCAGCCTCATCATCACAACCAGCGCCAGCACCAACACCATCACTGTCGCCATCGTGATCATCATCATCACCATCACCAACATCAGCAGCAGCACAGTAATCCTGCTGAGTATCGCGACCATGAACACCAAGATCGTCGCCAAGGACATCTTGAGCACATCGTTGTCCGTCCTGGGGGCCTCTTGGAGGCCTGTTGGGAGTCTGTTGGGTGTACCATCATCAGAACCATCGTCATCATCTCATCAGCGACGTCATGATCAGCATCATCATCAACATCATGATCGTCAGCATCATCATCATCACCACCACCTCCATCATCATCATCAGCATCATCAGCATCATCATCATCATCATTACTAGGATCATCATCATGATGAGCATGATGGTGATCATCATCCTCATCATCATCATCACCATCATCATCAGCATAGCCATCGTCACCATCGGCATCATCTTCATCACCACCAACACCATCATCATCAGCAGCAGCATCAGCATTATCATCATAGTCACCACCATCATCATCATCATTGCCATCATCATCCTCATCAGCATCATCAGCACCAACAGCGTTAGCATCATCAACTTCATCATACCCATCATCATCACCATCAGCACCGCACACACCAGTATCAGTATCATACTTAACATCAACATCATCATCATCATCACCGTCATCCTGCATGGTGGTTTGCTTCGGGGCGCTTCGAGGGATGTCCATCATCGCCATCATCATCAGCAGCAGGATCAGTATGAACATCATCAGCATCGTCATCATAATAATCATCGGCCAAATCGTCATCGGCGTTCTCATGCCAGAAATGTCAACATTATCATAATTACCATCATGCTCGTCATCATTATCAACATCCTCAGTTGGGTATCGTCACCACCGCCACCACCATCACCATTATCATCATCAACACCATCATCAGCATCATCATCATCATTATATTAATCAACAGCATCGCTATCATCATCATCATCATCATCATCATCATCATCATCATCATCATCATCATCATCATCACCATCAACACCATCAACACCATCACCATCGACGTCATCATTACCATACTCATAACACCGTATGCTAAACTTGCTGGTTCTGTCATTGGGACCTTGTTGGGACCCTCTTACGAACCTCTTGGAAGCCTCTTGGAGTCCTGTTGGGGGCGATGATGGTGCCCTCTTGGGTCGCCTTGGGGCTACGCTTGTGATAGTGGGCGCTGATAGAACACTCTTATCTTGAGGCTCCTTGGGGGGCAATTTGAGGCCCTCTTGGCCGTCTCTGGGCTCTCTTGGCACGTCTTTGGTGGCTCTCGTGGGCCTCTTGGGCCATCTTGGGGCGATCTCAGAGGCTCCCAGAACGGTCTTCGCCCTCACTGGGGCCGAACCGACACGAATGCCAGCATGATTCAGAAACAATCGTGAAAAGAATGGTGGCCTTCTGGGGCCGTCTTCGGGGCCCGCTCGGGCTGTCTTGGGGGCCTCCTGGCGTTTCGGCCCCCTTGGGCCGCGCTCTGATCGTATGGAAGACCAGTCGACGTTCTTGAACTGCTCGTGGAGCGATCTGGAGCCATCTGGGAGCCCTCTGAGGCCTTGACTATGCGCCCCTGGGGGCCCGCGGAAGGGCCCTCGGGCGGAGGGGCGACACATCGCACCCCGGTGTGGGACAGTGTCGGGGCGGGGGCTGGGGGCCCGACACTCTGGTGTACAGTCGGACTTGATTGGACAGGACACGCGAGAAAACACAAGACCCTTCCGAGTGCCACAGTGCCATAGGAGTGCAGGAGGCACAGGTCGCGAGGCACAGGACACAAGGGTACCCTTGATCTGGCAGGATCGACCTACTAATCCGTGCCGACTGTACCATGGATACATGTGTGCGTATGGAGTGGGGGGGTGGGGTCGCTGGAGGAGGAGGGCGAGGACGAAGACGAGGGGGGGAGGACGACGAAACGCAGGAGCAGAAGCAGGAGCTGCAACCGCTGGGGGCGAAGACGCCCCCCCCAGCCCGCAGCCTTCTCTCTCTCTGCGCTCTCCCTCTGCTCCAGCTGCAGCCTGGCGACCTCGGCCCTCAGCGTGTCGCACTCTGCCTGGCCAGGCCGAGAAAACACAATACGAATCACAGGAGAAACGATCCCAGAGGGTGCAGCCCTCGTCCCTCTAATGTTTGATCTGGGTGCTAAATCTGTACTCCGCTCAATCTTACTGACATCCGTCGGCACGACGTGGGCGCTCCCTGAAAGTTCTTGTCGTGGCGCAGCTGGTGTGGACGGCCTTGAATCCAAACCTCTAGAAGCATTCACCCACGCTGAAAAGCCCTACGATGCATCGGGGGCATGGGTAGGAATGATTTTCTGCTGCTCGGCAACATCTGGCAAAGTATGGATGAACGGGATGCCTTTCGGACTGCAACTCGGGCCTCTGAAGGCTTCCATATGATGCGTGCACATGGGAAGCCGGGCAAGGGCTGCTAAATCCGTGGCTGCTAAAATCGACCTCCGGGAAGTTGTCTTCGTCCTTCCGGGAAGAAGCCCGTTGACTGTTTCGCGTGCCGCGCCTCATTCCGGGAAGTTGTTTTTTCCTTCCGGGAGGGCCGTTTTAGCAGCCACGGTTTTAGCAGCCCTCGCCCAGCTTCCGAGCACAACTGGAGAACAAGCAGCGCAACGCGATTGACGGTGGCGACCATCTGGACCTGACCCAACCGAGAATGCTGGAGAACGGTGGACAAATTATATTCTTCGAAGCCGGAACAGAGAAGCTCCCATCGCGACCATGATATGACCACTCTATGCAAATCACGAGTTAAGGCATGCTACACTCGGCCATGACCAAACGCAACTGGGGTTCACGAGAGCACGTCACATTACGTTCAAGCATGGTCAAGCCGTGCTCGATACAGATATTCGAACGCGTCACGTGCCCCACACCCCTTCGCCTCACTCTCCCGGAGGCCGCCTAATTAGTGCCCGGGTAGATACAATCCACATCGCCTCGGCGATGCATCGGTGACGTTGGGATGCAGAATATCGTGCTCCGAATCGAGCCGCATCCTCGATGCACTGGCGATGAGGGGCGATCCTTCGACCCCTCCCGCTCAGATGCCAGTCGGGCTGCCTGGACCCCCCCCCGTCCGAGGGGTGGGGGGTCGCAGATCGTGGCCGGGGGGGCATGTGAGCGGACGAGGGGGGGACCAGGAGACGCAGTGGAAGCAGAAAAGGGGGTCATGACATCCACGGCGATCTTACGGCCCCGGTCATGATATACACCTCCCCTCCCCCCCCGGCCCATCACCCCATGAATGCCTGGTGGTTTTCGGGTCGTAACTCGAACCTCCAGCGACCGCTCGAGAAAATCTGGGCACCTCCGGAACGCCCTCGCCGAGGCGCAGCTGCTGGGAAGCATCCCGAAGCGAGAACACTCCCAAGAGCGAACGAAAGCTCCCTCCCCCTCCCCCATCGACGCCTCCTCGTCCTCCTCCTCCTTCTCCTCCTCCTCCTCCTCCTCCTCCTCCCCCTCCGCCTCCCCCTCCTCCTCCCGCCCCCCCTCCCCCCTCCCCCTCCTCCCCCTCCTCCTCCCTCGTCCTCCTCATCGTTCCTCCTCCTCGTTCTCCTCCTCCTCCTCCTCCTCCTCCTCCTCCTCTCCTCCTCCTCCTCCTCCTCCTCCTCCTCCTCCTCCTCCTCCTCCCCCTCCCCCTCCTCCCACTCCTCCCCCTCCCCCCCCGAAATGGTCAAAGCGTGCTCTTGAATATTCCCCCTGTAGCGGGACAGGCACGACTTCAAGCAAGGCCATCGACGCCCAGGAACCCCCCTGGAGGCAGGCAGGGTGCCTCTTGACATGGGCCGCCACTGCGTGGGACCCGACGGCCCGCCCCCGCGCAGGAGGCTGCGGATCTGGAGGAGGAGGAGGAGGAGGAGGAGGACGGACGGAGGAAGGGGAGGAGGAGGAGGAGGAGGAAGAGGACGAGGAGGAGGAGGAGAACGAGGACGGAGGAGGAGGGCGAAGGGGGAGGAGGAGGAGGAGGGGGAGGAGGAGGAGGAGGAATAATAATAATAATAATAATAATAATGATAATAAGCGGCATGGAGGCGCGCAGAGTTCTCGACTTCAGCTGTCTTCTCGCGGGGGCGGCGGCACAGCGGCCCAACATGAAATATGGAAAGAAACTGCGAACCAGTTTCACGATACGGAAAACGAGACAAAGCTGAATCACTACGCGAATTTTAAACTCGGCGGCCAGCCGAAGCTGGGAAAGTCCAGGAAGGCACTGGGAGGGGCCAAGATAGGTTCCACCAGGCCGAACACAGGCCCTGGGGACAACCGCGCTGACTAGTCGAGCCCAGGCTGGAAGAACAAAAAAAAAAACGCACTCTAAGTTCGACTGCAAGGAGGAGCGGGGGAGGAGGCGAGGGCGGCGCCAACATCAGGCGCGGCAGGCGGCCACAGGCCTGGATGACCCAGGCGATCACGAGGGCGATCCACCGCACGTCAACGAGGCACAGCGGTAGCTGGGTGAGTGGTTGGAGTAAGTGGAGCTATACGCAGAGCGCACGTCCCCACCACCTTCACAGAAGTCGAGGCCGAAGCCTTCCAGGCAACTGGAGATATTCATCATACACACCAGTCGAGAACTGAACCAGTAGATACTCCATTCCCAATCAATACGATGATGAATGTCAAAGCAACTCAAACCAAAGTATATCGTACGAAGTACCCACCGTCCCGATGGCAGCGCAGAGGACAGTAGCTGGATTAGTGGTTGGAGTAAGTGGAGCTATGCGCGAGGCGCATGTCCCCACCGCCTTCACATAAGCCGAGGCCGAAGCCTGTTAGACAACTGGAGATACTCATCACAGCGACCAGCCGTAGACTGCGACCAGTATATACTCCATCCAATGAATACGATGATGGATGTCAAGATCAATCAAACCAAAGTATGCAGTACGAAGTATCCGCTGTCACGATGGCGTCATCACTCATCTCCGAGATCACTCATCTCCGAGAGTACTCTGAATCATCTCCTCCATGGCCCCAGGGGGGGCAGCTCCCATAGCTCGCTTGGCTCCGATTTGGACGAGGGCGAGGCCCAGCAGGTGGCGCAAGCGCGTGCCCGAAGGCAGAGATTGCGCGCCAGAGCCGTCTTGTTGCATCATCGTGATCAGATCCACGTTGGCGATCGCAATGCGCAACTTCTTCTTGTTCTGGTCGTAGCACATGGTGGGACGGAAGAGGCGAATCTGGGCCCACAGGTCCTCCAGCGCCGCTTTGGCTAGAAATTCCCCGCGCCGCTTCTTGAGTTCCTCGAAGGTGAGTTGCCCCGGCGCGCTCCCACGCTTCAATAGTGCGTTCTCGAACCCATTGAAGATATGCAGGTGAGGAGGACCCAGCTGGTGGCCGCGACCCTGCTCCTTGACTGTGACTGAGTACTGGCGGCCTGACTCGAGCGCTTCCTCGACCTCGGGAGACTTGGCCTCCACGGGGAACGTGTCTACCCCGACCGCCCACAGATCCCTGACGGCCTGGCTGCGCCCCAGCGCTTGTTTGATCAGGACGGACAGGATGGCTTCTTGCTTGTGATTGAATCCTGCGTCTCGAAGGCTGCCGAGGTGTTTGTTGCGATCCTTGCGGCCTCGACGGGGCTTGGCTCCTTTTCCTCAGTTGCCCTTCTCCTTGTCCTCCTTCGTTTTCTTTTCTTTGGCAGCTTGCGATTCGGCAGGGGGACCTTCGGCTGAACGCTTGAGTGCCCAGGAGGGGACGGCGCTCGACATCGCGGCCAGTAGGGCACGGCGGTAAGTGTTCGTCTCGGATGTGCTTCTGAAGCTGGTCGAGATAGGACCACCGAGAACAGCTGCAGATCGGGCAGATAAGCGGCACAGCGACAATGGGATGTACAGCATGGGCAGAGCTAGCATTGCAGGTACCAGCGCGATAAGCAGCACGAATGTGTGATTTAGCAGACCGACGGAAGGCAAACGTTGGCATGCAACACGGGCGCTGATTGGTCACGACGCGCTTGAGTAAGTTAGACGTCTTACCATGGGTACCACCTTTAGTACAAGTGTTGTGCATGTTCAAAGCTTTGCGCGACGTAAAAGAGGCCCCACAAACACAGCCATCGTCAGTCAGCTGCGTGCACCGAAATCGTAGCGCGGCATCGCCCCACCCCTCCACCTCCTCATCGCATGGCATGGGTCCCAGATCAATAGGAGCCCCTGCCCTCCCAAGCTTCCAAAGTTTCCGAATTGCCGAGACGTCTGTATTCAGGAACCGGTGTCGAACATCGTCGTCTTCGAACAATTTAAGTATAGAGCGCTCCCAATGCTCATTCCAGTCGTCCATGCCAGTAAAGGCAGCAAGGCAATACACATCAGCAACAAACCGTCTAGCAAAAGGGTTAGCAGTAGGCGTCGCCCGACCGTCAGCGAGGGTGTGGTCGGATTCAAACTCATGTTTGCCGAACACGGTCGCAAGTACTAAATCGTGATCTTCAGGAAACCGAGCCATGTTTCGATGCCAACGCAGCCTCTGGACCAGGAGTTCATATCGGACAGGTACCAAATCAAGCCAGGAGTAGGTGCGTCGGCTGGACCAGGACCGAGGGTGTGGGCCAGACCAATCACAAGCGTCACCTTGGGCAATGGATCGGATTGTGCGAAGCAGCGCCTGGTCGAGCTCATTCTCTTGGGCGGGTGACAAAATAAATGGCGTGAGCCCCGACAATAGCGCACCCTGAACAACCGACGCAAAGATGAGTTTTTTTACTTCCCACGGCGCACGACTGCTCCATAGGCGTTGAGACGCTGTCCATCCACGCGCCGCAGCATTCTTCGCAACCACCATCTGCGGAGACAGAGCACCAGTAGGCATGAAGAAAGGTCCCAAATAACGTGCGTAGGGTAGTACTTGAGCACCTCCCACCTGTGCGTTGCAGAAGAGTCGATTGTCATGATATCCATTGAGCCAGGGGACCAGGACCTGCTTCTTGAGGTTCTGCTTGTATCCGTACGTGTCCAAGACCTCCGTGGCAGTCGCTTGTTCAACGGTAACCTGTTGAACGGCTTCTGCGAGCTTACAAGAATGCAGTAGAATAAAGTAAAACAGATCGTCCACATACTTGACCAGAAGTGTCCACACGCTCGTTAAATAAAAGACATTATGCTTGAAGTTCGGGCTGCGGAGAACGATAGCGCCACGCGTTGGCAGGTTTGGCAAAATCCATGCGAAACTCATCAGGGGCAGAAGTCTCTCCCATGAGGGCTCCAGTAGTGAGCTTGAGATGTAGTGGGCCATCTGCAGCATCCAAATGAAGTGTGTGTGTGTGTGAGTCGAACGACGATCTGCAATAAGAGTAGCGTCTGCATCAGGAAGGTATTCATGTGGCACTTCGTTGAATCGGGAATGGTCGCAACATCCGCATGCATGGGCCACGTCGTCGAGCACCGCAACATGTCGTGCTTTAGCGGAGCGTAATCTCCACTCGGTCGCATGCACTGCCAAGATCGCATTTTCACGACGACGATGAGGTACGCAGCCTTGATCAGCATGGCGAGGAGGTCCGAAAGGCGCACTTTTGTATAATCCACGGCACACAGCACGAAAGAACGGGCACAATCCATGTAAATATCTGGTGGCACCGTCAGGCTTGGGCGTTTGCCACGCGTTACTGTACCCAGCACAAGCAGGGGGCCTTCCACTCGTTCGCCAGCAGGTGGCGAGCGCCTGCACTGTGGTGGCAACCGCGTCCGCGGCAGGAGGTTCAATTGTGCATCCCACGCCAGCTAGAGACTTCTTCTTCTGAGAATAGTACGGCGGCCGTAACATCATCAACCAAACTTCACCAGGCATACTCCAATCAGGGACAGCGCGGCGTCGAGCAGCTTTTTTAAATGAAAGGAACTGCCCTCGCCAAATCCTTTTCACCGAGCGCCTCGGCAGTGTCATGATTGCTGCGCCCAGCAGGCGGGGGCGCAGCACGTTGAGCTTCAAAGTCCGTAATAACAACAGGTTGCGCACCCAGCCCGCCTTGGGCACCAGACTTCTGCAATACGTGCAACAGTTCCGCAGTCGAGGGCGCATGCTTCCGTATCACGTTGTATCGCCTACGCTTGGGTCCAATGCCTGTGCCAGCAAGTTTGTGAGAAAACGTCTGCACCTCCGCAAGTCGGCGTTGCCGCCAGGCCTCATGTAGCTGCTGATGAGTGCCCGTCGCCACCTGCGTACTTTACCTGTGAGAAAGGCACTGAGCGTCCGTATCTGCGTGTCATGATGTGCATGAGGCGCAGCGACAGCACGAAGCTTACCACGAAGGTCGACTAGCTGACGTACTTCACGCCGAAGGGCACGTGTATCTTCATCCATGCAACTATTACGTGAGAAATACTTAGCAGCCACAGGTAGGACGATTTCCCGAAAGGCAGCATATCCTTGCTCGATCTGAGGCGCTTCGAAAAAAAAAAAACAAGAAGAGAAAACTTGGTACGCGCCAGTTCAGCTTCGAGCTCAGCCAGGAAAGATTCACGAAGTCCAGGAGTTTGAAGTGCCAGCGCAACACGATCACGATCCCAGGCAATCTTCTTGGCAGAGCATACATGAGGTAAAGACATTGCAATTTCCGTGCGTGATCAAGTAGGGCGCCAGACCCAGGCGCCAACTGCAACTTCTTTGCAAGTCTAGTCATAGTGACGCATTTTGTAACATGCTTGCGAAGGCCAAGGGGTACCACTAGGTAGTCGATAAACGAAGTGCGATTCTTCTGGCCGTAAAACGTGGGATATACTTGCTGGAAGGTACTGGGGACGCACAGGTGGTGTCGGTGAAGTAATTCACGAAACGCTTTCGCAGCGTATCCCATTCGGGTCGTCGTAAATGGTCCAATACATTGATACTGATCAGCTTGGTCCGCAGAGAAAGAATCGTTCAGGTCAGTGTAGAGGACGGGGGTGCAGCGGCACGGCAGAGATCCCAAAGTGTCATACAGCCACTGAAGTAGGCAGTCCACCGTGTTCCGCCATGCCCCCGTTGCGCGTCCGACAGCCGTGGGTGGAAAGCAAATTGCAAATGCGGCGATATCGAAGTCCTTTCCAACCAATCTGATCATGCCACCACGGCTTTGCGCAGCAGCAGGAGGAGACGACACAGCGTGTACCTTGCCACGCTGGAAAGCCTTCACATTGTACCCAATCGAGACTCCGCACGAATTGTTAGTAAACGGGCCACGAGCGTATCCGAAGTGAACAAACTGGTGCGCCTCCTCCGACTGCGTCCGTGTCGTAGTGTGTGGGAGTACCCGAAGTCGAGTGCCCACGAGCATGACCAGAGCGGTGGAGCGCAGCAGGGTGCTGATCTCATAGAGTCTGCGGGTCTGCACAACAAAAGAGAGGTGCTTCATAATCTCAACCTGAGGAAACCAGCCAGGCGACTCGGCCCGTCAGCGCCAGGCCCCTCCCAGGCCCATCAGGATCGATGTGATGTAGGAATGTGCGAGGTGCAGAACAGGGCCCCAGACACCCCTCGATCTCCTGAAATGGGCTGGAGGAGGAGGAAGAGGAGGAGGAGGAGGACGGAGGAAGGAGGACGGGAGGAGGAGGACGGAGGAGGAGGACGGAGGCCCCGCGCAGGAACGTGCGGGTTCGTGCCTGGGGGCCCATTGCCGGGCTATCGGCGATGCCTCGACGACTCCGGCGCGGTGCTGTCCCCTCCTGCGGTGGTCCTCCCCTGCGGTTGCCTCTCACTCTCTGAGATTGTCGGGCTGGGGATGGGAATGGGGATAGGGGTCGGTGAAACGGTATCGATCAATTATATGTGCCAATTGTCAGGAGATGACCTGCCTGAGTCGGGTCGGGCAAAAGGGGGGGATAGCAAAGGGGGGGGTGAGAATCAGCTCACGTAGCTGATTTTCCCGGCGCCTCCTGGCGCCGGAGGCGGCCATGTATCGAGGAATGGGTTCCTCGGTGGGGCCGAAACCAGCTGCGTGCAGCAAATGTCGTACCCCCCCCCCTTTCCCAATCCCCCCATTCCGTCTGGCCCGACACTCCTGCCTGCGCGCGCATGTCTGATTCGCCAAAGAGAAAGGACGCCTGACCCTTTGGGAGGGGACCAAAGCTAGGAAGGCCAAGCACATTCGGGATGGGAAGGTCCCTTTTGCAGACGTGCCAGACCAATGCCGCCCAGAATGATGATCCCCGATGCGAAGACGGGGACCTCAGCGAGGCCACGCCTTCGTCGTGTCATTAGGGGTAGGGGTTCTTTTGTGCTCGATGACCTGTCGTTTCCCACTCTCCTCTCCCTCATCACTGCTCCTCACTCTTCGGGGACGCACCAGACCGCGTCAGCCAGGGCCACGCCGCGAATCCAGGCCAGCCACACAGCAGCTCCCAAACCCGGGTCAGCGGAGGGCGGGGGAGCGGGATCGGCTCAGGTGGCTCCCAAGCCCGGGTCAGCCAGAAAATCTCGGAGAAGATTGGCTGACCCGTGTGGGGAAACCAAAACGTACCTTTTCCGCCACTCCCCGGCCCTCTCCCGGGGTGCGTCCCGACCAGAATCTCGAGGCGACTCCAGCCGCGACGACGAGTGCCCCCCAGGAGGCCCAGAAGGCGAACACGAGGGAAGGGCAGCAGCATGGGTACAAGTCTTCCCCCTCCCTGGGACTGGCTGGCCCCCCGTTCGCGCCGACCCTCCGAGACGTGGCCCCGCGCTCTGGCCGCTGGGCGCGCTGGGCGCCTCCGGCGCAGGCCCGACAGAGGCCTGGGCCACCCGCAGCTCCGCCTCCAGGGCGTCGGCGCGGGCCCTGGCGCGGGAGGGGGGCGGACCCTCCTGCGCAGAAGGAGTCTCTTCCCAGGTCGGGCATGTCCCCCTAACCACAGGCGGATCTTCGAGGAAGCGCAAGAAGCAGTCCCAAAATGCAGAGCAAACAAAAGTGTAAGAAACCTCGTCCCCAGAGTACGAAGAGGGACGTGACCGACGCAAATCTGTACACCTCCACCGCGCCAGGCCAGGGCCATGCTGGCCCCGGCATGGCGTGCACGCCATCCTGGCAAAGGCCAGGAGGGTGTATACCGAAGGGGCCCTGGGACACACAAATAAATACACACAAATAACTGGATTCCCCTATAGTTTCCCATATTTTCTGGGTTTTTGTCTTCCCCCCAACTTCCCATATTTTCCCATATTTTCCTGGGAGTCGACGATTGCTTGCGTCTGTTCCTGATATACACCATCCTGGGGCCCAGGGTGGCCCTGGCCTGGCACGGTGGTGGTGTACAGATGCCTTCGTCGGAGATAAGCCACAGCAGGCTCGCGCGGCGCCGGCGCGCGCAGAGGTTTTGACACCGCGTCGACCGTTCAACCTGGAATCGATCTCGGCCCTGATCGTTCAAGGTTGAAGTGCGTCGGGTCCATTTGCGTCACCGTGTCTCTCAGGTGCTTCCTCGTCACAGAAGCCGACCTTGAATGCCTTCGCCGGCGTCGCCAGCGCGCCAACGCCGCATGAACCTACCGTACCTACCAGACCACCCCAACCCAACCCAACTATTCGTCCTACATCTCCGTCTTCCCACATCTATCCTCATCCTCCTTCGAAACTGGCGGCGCGCACAAGGGGGTAGGGGGAGGGGGGGAAGGTTTATTAGAAGGAGACTTCTTTTTAGAAGGCGCTGGCCTTGCATCTTTAGACAAGGCCCGCACCTTCTAAGAAGCAGGGGTGCTTCCAAGAAGCCTTCCCCCCTCCCCCTACCCCCCTCTGTGCGTGGCCGACGAACGATAACGAACGGCTGCCATCCTCTTTGCTACTACATGTCCCTGCTCTCCTCCAATCGCCTGGGCATCGTTTCTAGACGGGCATGGTGGGGATACGCGAGGCGTCAAGAGTTTGTTTGCGCTCAGCTCAGCTGGCACACAGAGGGCATCATGTGTGTGTGTGTGTGCGGCAGTAGTTCAAGATGGGCACATCGCTATTGGCCCTGACCCCCTGTGACTAGATCGGGAGCGGCCAAGACGGGGGTGTCCAAGAGGGGGGGTGCAAATCATGACCGGCGGCACGTGCGCGGCCCAGGGGGAGAGCCGGGGACGTAGTGAATCAAGAAGAGGCGCCCTGAGATCTGGGGAGATATCATGGCCCCCGCCATGATATCCACCACCCCCAGTCATCACCCCCCTCTTTTCCGCCCCCGAACTATGTTTCGCCCCTGTGGCTAGACGTCTAGCTCCCTTCCCTGGCCATCGCTCGGACGTCCATCCCCTGTGTTTTTTTTCGGGATCGTGCGTGGCTTTTTGGCTTAATGATCAAGGATGCTCCTCGATTTTGGACGCCCGACATGGGTACTGAAAAAATGGGTCCGATGCCCAACAACAAATGTTGTCCCAAACCAACAGCGGCCGCTGTTGGGCAGGCGGCCTTCTGTCTCGAATGGACACAGGCCGCGGCGACACCGACAGCGAGTCCGGTCGACAGCGAGTGCGGTTCAAAATGAACAAGAACTGCTGTTGGGCATTGTACCCATTCTTTCCGTGCCCATTTCGGGCGTCCAGATCGATGGTCCTCGCCGAAGGAAAAACTAGGGCTCCCAACTTCGCGCTTCGCGCTCCGCGAAGCGCGAAGCGCGAATAACTTCGCGCCCTCGCGCCGCCCCCCCAAAGGGAGAAAAGGAGGACGAGGAGGAGGGGGAGAAGGAACGAGGACCGCGAAGCGCGAAGCGCGAATAACTTCGCGCCCTCGTGGGAGCCCTTGAAAAATGCACACGCCCGAGCGATGCCAAGCTTCCCTGGGACCGGTCCTCCCTCCCGAGTCCTTCCCTGGCGGCCCTCCGGGTCCAGCGCGGGCCCCCGGGCTGCCGAAGACGGCGCCAGCAGCAGCCCGACGCCACCTCTCCACGGCGCAGGGCCCGAGCCCTGCCCGGGGATCGGGCGTCGGCCCTCCCCTCCGCCCCCATCCCTCCTTCTCCGCCCCCTCCCCCTCCCTCCTCCTCCTCCTCCTCCTCCTCCTCCTCCTTCTCCGCCCCCTCCTCCTCCTCCTCCTCCTCCTCCTCCTCCTCCTCCTCCTCCTCCGCCCCCTCCCTCCCCCTCCTCTCCGGTCGGGCGAAAGGGGGGGATAGCACAGGAGGGGTTGAGAATCAGCTCGCGCAGCTGATTTTCCCGGCGCCGGAGGCGGCTATGTATCGAGGAGTGGGCCCCTCGGTGAGGCCAGAACCAGCTGCATGCAGTAGATGTCGTAACACCCCCTTTTGTCGCCCCGATCCTCCCCCCTCCCCCCTCGCCCAGCCCCCCCCCCCCCCCGCCTCCTCCGCCCCCCCTGCCTCTCCTCCGCTCCTCCCCCTCCTCTCGTCCCCCCTCTCTCCGATGCTGCCGCTGCTCCTCCCCCCAAGAGGGAGGCCCTGTCGGAGGCCTGGACTCCGCCGCCGCCGCCGCGTGCAGCGACAGCTCGTGCTCCAGCCTGGGGCCGGCTGCGTGGGCGGAAGCTGACTACCTACCAAACCACCCCAACCCAACCCGAAGATAAAACAGGGCTAAGATCGGGATAAATCGCTCCAGAGCGTTCCGGAGCGCTCTCAGAGCGTTCCGGAACGCTCTGGAGCGGCCGCGGCGCCCAATACATTCTCCAACCCCGGCGACTCTCAGAGATTTCGAGTTATCCCGATCCGATTTTGTCCCGATCTTCGCGTCGTTTTACCAACCCAACCCGAAGACCCGAATTTCAGGTAGGGGGGGGTACAGATTCCAGATGTGTTCTCTCCATGTTCCCGGACCCCCCCCCCCTGCTGGAAATGGAGGGCAATGGAGGCCTTCGGGTTGGGCTGTGGTGGTTTGGTGGGTGGTGAGAAGCAGGTCCGGCCGACCCCGCGGAGGCGTCTGCGCGCCGCCGCCGGGTCCGGCCACGGCCACCCCGGGCCCTGGCCAGGCATGGCGGTGGTGTAATTATGGGGGCCTTCTGAGACGGGAGCTGCTGACAGTGGGGGAGGAGGAGGAGGAGGAGGAGGAGGAGGAGGAGGAGGAGGAGGAGGAGGAGGAGGAGGAGGAGGCGGAGGGCGAGCTGCGGACGGTGGGGGAACGAGGAGGCCGCGATACCGCCGCTCGCAGCACCCGCCTCTGTGCCAGGGCGCATCCTGCCGCCGAGCCATGGCGACGAGGGCTCTCCAGGACGAGCAGCGGCACGAGGGCTCTCCAGGACGAGCAGCGGCATCGGTGCCTCCCCCCCCCCCCCCTTAGGTGCCACGGGGTCGGGCAAGATCGTGTCACGTGCCTGCCCCGCATTCCGAGGCGCAGAGTGGGGGAATCCCGTCGTGCGAGGGGTCGGCTTCGCCGTGTCGGCGCCCCGCGGATGGGGGTCGACCTCGCCTCGCGGCGGTCGTCCACGACGAGGGCGAGTGGCTGTGTATAGGGGGGGGGGGGGGCGCCCGCCCCAGCATCTGCTGTGGATCTGGGATGACATATCAGCATTGCAGCATGTTCTCGTTCTCTTTGACGTCGTTAGACGTCTTTTGACGTCGGGACATTCGTCGTTTGACCCGCTCGCCTCCTCCTCCTCCTCCTCCTCCTCCTCCTCCTCCTCCTCCTCCTCCTCCTCCTCCTCCTCGCGTGTTAAACCGCTCGCCTCCTCCGCCTCCTCCGCCTCCTCCTCTCCTCCTCCCTCCTCCTCCTCCTCCTCCTCCTCCTCCTCCTCCTCCCCCTCCTCCCCTTCCTCCTCCTCCTCCTCCTCCTCCTCCTCCTCACGCACGGTCACCCGACGTCGGGACATGTCTCATGAAGAGACAGGTGACGCTAAAGAGCGCAGTGCCGCGGCCGACATGGTGGTCGCTGAGACCACACTCGATGTGGCATGCAGCAGGTCTCCGAAACCATGCCCCGAGGCTCGGAGTGGAGTTTTCCGAGGTCCTGTGGAGTCCTTCCTCTGTGTGGAATATTGTAACGCGTTTTCAGGAGCTCAGCCTGGAGTTCTGGGCGCTCTTGGGCGCTTCCAGGGCTAAGCGCGTGTTCTCGCTGGACGTGTCCAGAGGCAAGCGGGCCCGGAAGCAAGCACAAAATGGCTTCAAGAGGCCCCCAAGAGGATGCAAGGGAGCCCCGGGATCGCCCAAGAGCGCCGCACGGTGCCCAAGTTGCCCCAAGGCGGCCCAAGACGCCCGAAGAGGGCTCGAAGAGACCGCCCAAGAGGGCCCCAAGAGATGAAGTTGAGCCCAGTGAAGGAGCCATCACGCCCGAGTTTCCCAGAGGAAGCCCAAGGCCTGAGCCCGATCGGGCCGGCCCCACGAGCGCACCTGATCGGCGCCTCACAGCACGCGGAGGAGGAGAGGGGAGGACGAGGAGGAGGAGGAGGAGGAGAAATCTGATGATGATGATGATGATGATGGTGATGATGATGATGATGATGATGATGCTGTTGATGATGATGATGATGATGATGGGGAGGAGGCGGAGGAGTAGGAGGACGAGGAGGACGAGGAGGAGGAGGAGAGATAGAGAGAGAGAGAGAGAGCGGCGATAGAGAGAGAGGAGGAGGAGAGGAAGAGGAGGAGAAGGAGGAGGATGAGGAGGGGGAGGAGGGGGAGCAGGATGATTCGACTCGATTCGAGCGCCGTGGAAACCTGGTCAAGCCAGGGCACTGAGCAACTTCAATTCATCGGGAAAGGGACGTCCGACTTCGGCGTGAGTTCCCTCGATTGTCGACTCAAAACCTCCGCCCCCGCCTTGGGAGGGGCCATGAGGCGGGCACGCTTTGCCCAGTTGGCGTACGTCCACCGTGCTGGAACTCCCACATTTAGTGCAAAACAAGACGCCACGCACAACCGACAACATGTGTGAGGTGTGCACATGCGCGTACAATTCATGATGCATCGGGTCATTCGGGGCCAAGGCACGAGCTCCGCAATACGGCCCTGGCCAAACGGCATCAAGCTGGCCACGGGGAGGAAACCTGCGGGCGCAAGTCATGCATGAGAGGTGGCAACCCCTTTTGCGGGGTTCGTGTCCCGCAGATCAGAGTCGCTGTCTGCGGGTGTCAAACGCAGACATTGCACGGGGTCTAGGAGGGGGGCGTCCAATCCGCGCAGCCCCTTTCCTAGGGCACGATACGGCAACCTCCATATTTACGGCGAGGAGGCGACCCAAGACGCTATGGGTCATTGCATCAATTCGCTGGATGGACTGGGCTAAATCATCGGGAACAGCACACTGTTCCGCAGCCCACCCAGACAAATAGTCGGCACACCAATCCAAGGAATACTCATCCCTAGAGATCCCGTACAACTCTTGCTTTTCAAGGGAGGTGTGAGGCTTGGTCCAAAGATCGGTGATCCGATCCGATGGCCGATCATCGATCTCACCCCAAGCAAGCTGAGGAAGAGGAGGAGGAAACGAGGAGGATAATGAGGAGAAGGAGGAGGAAGAGGAGGAAGGAGGAGGCGAGCGGGTTAACCCGCGTGAGGAGGAGGAAGATGAGGACGAGGATGAAAATGAAGATGAAGATGAATATGATGATGATGCTGCTGATGATGATGATGCTGATGATGCTGCTGATGCTGCTGATGATGATGAAGATGATGCTGCTGATGATGATGCTGCTGATGCTGATGATGCGGATGATGATGAGAGAGAGAGAGAGAGAAAGAGAAAGAGAGAAAAAAAGAAAGATAGAGAGAGAGAGAGAGAGCGGCGACTGAGAGAGAGAGAGAGGAGGAGGAGGAGGAGGAGGAGGAGGAGGAGGAGGAGGAGGATGAGAAGGAGGAAGAGGAGGAGGAGGAAGGGAGGAGGGAGGGAGGAGGAGAGGAGGAGGAGGAGGAGAGGAGGAGAGGAGGAGGAGGGAGCAAGGAGGGAGCAAGGAGGGAGGGAGGGAGGCAAGGACCGGCAAAAGCGACACGCCTGCACGCGAGGGCCGGCAGTGGGAGCCCCCCCAGGGAGGGCCACTGCCTTGGCAGGCGGCGCATGCGGGCAATCCTTGTCTCCATACCCTCCTCCTCCTCCCTCCTCCTCCCGCCTCCTCCGCCTCCTCCTCTCCTCCCTCGCTCTCTCCCTCCCTCCCTCCTCCTCCTCTCCTCCTCCTCCTCCTCCTCTCCTCCTCCTCCTCCTCCTCGCTCCCACCCTCCCCCTCCCTCCTCCTCCTCCTCCTCCTCGGCCTCCTCCTCCTCCTCCTCCTCCTCCTCCTCCGCCTCCTCCTCCTCCGCCTCCGCCTCCTCCTCCGCCTCCTTCTCCTCTGCAGCTTGGAGTTTCGGGCTCCCTTCCCCAGAAACCCGATGCGCACTGGATGTGGGAAACATGTGGCCCCTGGAGACTTGATTGAAGGGGCCTGGGGCACACAAGGCAATACACACAAATAAAATGATTCCCTATATGTTCCCATATGCTCTGGGCTCTCCCCCCACTTTCCATAGTTTCCCACATTTATTGAAAAAATCTGCGATTCATTGTGTCTGTGTGTTTTCTCTCCCTCCTGATTGATCTTCGCCCATGTCCTGTGCATCTCGGCCTGGCGGCACCCGCTCCAGGAAAGTCCGGGGTGCACTGGTATTCAGGAGGGAAAGAAACACACAGACAATCCGTCGTGGAATTGGGCGGGAAGACGAAAACCCAGAAAATATTGGAAAATATGGGGAATCCTGTTATTTGTGTGTATTTATTTGTGTCCCAGGGCCCCTTCAGGTATGGTTGTAGAGATACTGCTCGCGGCACGCTCCCAGAGATGCGAAGCTCCGAGGAAAGTTGCCAGCCTCGAGCCTATCCCTATCCCTAAGATTGACACGCCGAAAAGCGATGACAATCTTAGGGGCGCGCCCTCCAAAAATAAGGGAATCCCTCAGATTGGCATCGTGATGAGGAGATGCCCAGCATAGGGATAGGGATATGTTCCAGGCTGGGAAGAAAGGGGAAGCCGGTGTTTTTGGCGATCTGGTGGGCTGTGTGCGCTGTGCGCTCGCTCTGTAGGAGGCGGACGAAGACAGGAAGAACCAGAACGATAAAGGAATCCGAACACGGAAACACCGTTCAGCTCGAGTCTTGGAGACCTATGCGGCCTCTGGTCGGGGATCTGATGACCCGGGTCAATCCATACCCGGGTCAGCCAGGCTTTGCAGGAGCCTTGCAAGATCCTGCAGGATCCTGCGCCGCAGCCCAGGTCAGTGCAGCCCTGGCCCTGCAGGACCTTGCGAGATCCGGCGCTCTGACGAACCCCCGCTTGCATGCATGGACCCCCGTGTCTTCAGTCCCGACCTGGGGGACTCAAAGGGCCCCGGGACCATCCACAAAACCAAGGTTTGCGTCGGCGGCTAGGCAGGGGTCGACTGCGCTGGCGGAAGGGGCCAACTCAACGGGGGCACCGTTGCAACCATCAACAGAACCACGCCGAGCGAGAAAGCTGCCCGGAGAAAACCCTCCAGAATTCCCGGGGTCCACGCCTCGAACAAAAAAAAGGAGCGCCAGGCGCCTTGGATGCGCCCACACGCCCGACGATCTGCGCTGTGCTGGTTCCAGGCGCGGCCCCGGGAGCCCCGACCCTGAAGGGGCCATGGGACACACAAATACATACACACAAGTACAAGGTTTCCCCCTATCTTTTATTACATTTTCTGGGTTTTCGTCTTTCCCTCCTCTTCCCATAGTTTCGCCTGGGGATCGACGATTCATTATGTCCGTGTGTTTTTTGTTGACCCTCCCTTTTCCTGCAAATCATCTTCGGCACCGCCCGATCCCAGGGCTCCGCCCTCTCCCAGCCGCCGTGATGCCCCGCCTCCTCCCGCCCCTTCTCTAAGCTGGGCGCGCCCCGCGCAGCTTTCAGCGGAAGAGCTTCGCTCTCGCCCCGCAGATCAAAAAAAATATGTTCTTGTTCCCTCCTGAACTTTGTGGGCCCCGGAAACGGCAGGGCCGTTTTTTCACCGTTTCCCCCAAAATGTCCCTTGACAATAGAATCGGCAAAAAAACGGCGACCGGAAACGGCAAAAAACGGCTCGAGGATTGGAACCGGAGCCGGAACCGGACAAAAAAAACGGCGACGGAACCGGTAAAACAACCGCGTTGGAACCGGCAACAAAAACGCCATATTTTCCCATACTTTTTGGGGAATCGACGATTCACTGCGTCTGTGTGTTATTTTCCCTCCTGAAACACACGACCAGGCTGGACAGCAAAAAGTCAAGGGACAACGACCCGGTTGGACAAAAAACGACCAGGCTGGAGAAAAAACGACAAGGTTGGACACAATACGACCAGGTTGGACAAAAAACGACCAGGTTGGACAAAAAACGACCAGGTTGGCCAGCACATCGACACAGCAGCCCGTCAGGAGTCTGGGCAGCGCACGGTGCGTGCTCGATCTTGAAGGGGCCCTGGGACACACAAATAAATACACACAAATAACAAATTTCCCCATATTTTCATATATTTCCTGTGTTTTTGTCTTCCCCCCCACTTCCCATATTTTCAAATCTTTTCTGGGGAATTGACGATTAATTGTGTCTGTGTTTTTTGTCCCTCCTGAGATCTGGCTGACGCGAGTGCAGGAGCACAGCCCGCGCTAATGACTCCTCGACCGACCGGCGGAGAGAGCGATCGGCGCGTCCGATCGAGCGGCTCGCGCGCGCGCGCCGGCGCAGCGATGAGGGCGGCCACGCCGCCCGGGGCCCGCCTCTATATAGTCGGACCCAGGCCAGAAGAACAGCAAGAGCATGAGACCCTCCGTCGGCCAAAACAGACCGAACATCCAAAGATACCCTCCACGGGATGCACCAGAGCACCCAACAAGCACGAAGAACACTGGGTTTGCCCTTCCCGAACCGACCTCGATCCCGTAGCTCGGTCCACCTCCGTACAGGGCAGTTTTTAATACATGGGTTGTTTTATATAGGATGTTTGATACATGATTCATTTGTGAATAAATTTATGCATGAAGTCATCGTTGTTTTTAACACTAAACCCCTGCATTTTTAATGCATGATCCGCACGCGGAGCATGTATTAAAAACGGCACTGTAACTCCCGTCGGGCTTCCGCCGTCTGGCCGCGGGGCAGCTGCGCCCCCCTTCCCCCCGCGGCGCCGAGTCGACGACTCCCCGCCCCCTGCGCAGATGCCCCGCTGAGGAGGCCCCCTCCAGGGGCAGCTTCAGGTCGGGCGGGCCCTCCTGCAGGCGGATTTTGGACGAAGGATAAGAGATAGCCAAACAAATATGCAAAGAAACATCAAGCATAGTTCAAACGAAATCGTCCCCAGCCTATGTTTTGACTATCTTTGAAACTTCCTCCTGTAGAGGGGCATGCCCAATTTCAGGGTACTTGTAGGTCGGGCATGTCCCCCACTACAGGGGTATTTTTTTGGGAAAAGTTTAAGGGACCCCAAACATATGCAATATAACCCAAAAACAACTCCCCCAATTAGGACCCTGGACTATTGTTTGACTATTATCCTTTTTTCTCCTCCTGTACAGTCGAGGCGTTGACCTAAGGAACCCTAAATAAGGAACGAGGCCCCTCTTTTCCATCAGCTAAACTTCGATGTCGTATCGAAAACCTAAGGGACATCTAAGGCAAGCTGTGCAACACTTAAGGAACACGGAGCCCCTCCCCAACGAAAAGGGTTCCTTCTTCAGGGCCCCGACTGTGTTGTTTGACCATCTTTTTTTTTCCTTCTGTAGAGGGACATGCCCGACTTGAGGGCAGCTGCCAGGCGGAGCCCCTTCCATGGCCACCGCCGGAGGGATCGAGCTCAAGGGCCCGACGATACCTGCCCCCCCCTCCCAGTGGGGCCTAACTACCTTTAAGTCGGGCCTGTCCCCTTACAGGGAGATTTTCGACGAAAAAAACATACCCCCAAAAGAATCAAACAATGATACAAATAGTCCGGGGACTCTTTTTGGACTATTTGTAACCTTTTTGGAATTTGTTTGGGGTATTTTTTATTTGTCCTCGAAAATCCCCCTGTAGGGGACAGACCCGACTTAGGACTACCTACCAGATCACCCCAACCCAACCCGAAGACCTGACTTTCGGGTTGGGGGGGTACGGGTTCCATCTGTGTTTTTTCTGTGTTCCCCGACCCCCCCCACTGGACATGGGGTGCAAATCGGGGCCCTCGGATCGGGTTGGGGTGGGTGGGTGGGTGGTGAGGGCCTGCAGCCAACAGGGCTGGAACTAAACGTTGTTTTTCCAACGTTTAGGTTTATGTTGGGCGTGTCCCCCTACAGGGGGATTTTCGATGAAAAAACATTAAAAAGTACCCCAAGGTCAACACATACTAAAAAAATAGTCCTCAGACTATGTTTGTTTTGACTATTGTTTGGGTATTTTTTGTTTTTCGTCGAAATTCCCTCTGTAGGGGGACACGCCCGACTTAAGTCTAGGTCCAGCCCTGGTATCCACGTCCCCTGCGTCCCGAGGTCCCCGACGACCGATCCCACGGGCGGCGGTTATGGATGCATCTCCGCCTCGGAGGCAGCGGCATAGCAGAGGGGAAGAGCAGGCAGGGGGCCTGGGCATCAGCTCTTCAAGCCCCCTTCCTCCTCCTCCTCCTCCTCCTCCTCCTCCTCCTGGTTTCCCACCTCCTCCTCCTCCCCCGCCTCCTCCTCCTGGTTTCCCTCCTCCTCCTCCTCCTCCTCCTCAGCATGCAGGATTTCCCTGGTGCCGGAGACGGTCGCGTATCGAGGGGTGTGCCCAGCGGCGAGGGCGAGACCGACTGCGCGCAGCAAATCGTCCCGACTCGCCTCTGTCGTCCGTTCCGAGCCTGGTGGGGGGGGTCGTGGCGACCCCGCCGACGCCGTCGTCGCCACCCCGCAGGGTGCCTCATGGCAGCAGAGAGAGGAGGATGAGGAGGAGGCGTAAAAGGGAAGAGGAAGAGGGAGAGGAGGACGACGACGGCGACGGACACCCGAGAAAACGATTTCTGTCTGAAAGCCCGAAGTGCTTCAGGACCAACTTCCAGCCGAAGATGCAGGGCCACCCCTGCACCACCAGCAAACGTTATTCAGACAGCATGGCTGCCCCTGGTCAAAACCGAGGCACTGCGTACGAAACCTGCGCGGAAGCTGGAATAGCAGGCCAAGGAGGAGGACGGGGATGAGGAGGAGGAGGAGGAGGAGGAGGAGGGGGAGGAGGAGGAGGAGGAGGAGGAGGAGCAGGAGGAGGAGGAGTAGGAGAGAAAGCACCGAGCTAACAGTTCAGCGCGCCCGGGCCCGCCGACACGGCAAGGGGGGTGGCCTCGCGGTCTTGGCGAAGAGCTCCCCCTCGAGCGCGGCGATCCTCGCTCGCGCCGCGGCGGCCTCGCCGGTCAGGTCCTTGACGGTGCGCTCCAGCCTCGGGGCACCCAGGCGTTGGCTTCTGCCACCGAGTGCGCCGCCCAGGAGGAGGAGGAGGAGGAGGAGGAGGAGGAGGAGGAGGAGGAGGAGGAGGAGGAGGAGGAGGAGGAGGAGCTGGGCGAGGAGGAGGGGGAGGAGGGAGGAGGGAGGAGGGATGGATCTGATCCCCCCCGCACACAGCATGGCGGGGCTGTTAGGTGCTTGCTGCTGTGTGTTCGCTCCTTTCCCTTCCTTCGCAGCAGACCAAAAAACACAAGAGAGACCTCCCGACCCACCTCGCGCGACCTGCACACCGCGGCCGCCAGGCCCAACGCGCGCTGTTCCCTGGCTATCCCGCCCCGCGTCCTCGACGAAGGGCGACTGCACACCGCGGCCACGAGACCCAACGTGCGCAGGTGATCCCTGGGGACCCCGCCGTGCGGTCTCGGGCGGGGATCGCTCGAGGCGCAGTGATGAGCTTATGTGTTCGACCGCAACGTCCGTTGGGTCGGAGAAGGGGAGAAGGAGGGGGGGAGAAGGAGGAGGAGGAGGAGGAGGAGGGGAGGAGAGGAGGGGGAGGAGGAGGAGGAGGCGGAGGGGGGGAGGGAGGAGGAGGAGGAGGAGGAGGAAGATGAGGAGGAGCAGCAGCAGCAGGAGGGGAGGAGGAGGAGGAGGAGGAGGAGGAGGGAGGAGGAGGAGGAGGAGGAGGAGGAGGAAGAGGAGGAGGAGGAGCAGCAGCAGCAGCAGGAGGGGAGGTCGGGCTCCCGAGGCGGGGCACGGTCAACGTGTGACGGGTGCGGGCAAGGCCCCCCCCCCAAAGGCCCCAACGACGGCGTAAGATTAGGTCGGGCACGTCCTCCTGCAGGCGGATTCTGAAAGACAAAAGGACAGTGCCCAAAACAGGCTCAACAATAGTTGGAAGATCATCGACACGTTGACCGAAACTATTGTCGAACATTCCTCCTGTAGAGGCACATGCCCGACTTGAGCCTAAGGGAGCCCAAGAGGGGGAGAGCCCAGACTGACAGTTCGAGCCCACCGCCCTGAGATGACCCCCGAGACCGCCAGAAGAGCCCCCAGAGGCGCCCAGTAGGCCCCAAGAGACCCTAGCGGGGACCCGAGTGACACCCAAGAGGCCCCGAGACGCATGCCCGGTCTCCCACAACCGCCCCCCCAAAAATGTATCCCAAACCCGTTTCGGGAGGCCCTAGAACTGCCTCGAAGAGGTTCCCCAAACAAAGTTCAAGCTCACCCAAGAACTTCCCACAGGCACCCAAGACGCCTCTGACGCGCAACCCAGGCGCGGTGGCGGGGTGGGCGAAGGCCTCCAGATAGTCGGGAGAGCTTGCGACATCTCCGTGGGAATCGAACTCCCGCCTGGGGCCCGGCCCCTGCTGGTCGCACGCAAGTCCGTCGATGCGAGAACGGACGCAAGTGTTGCTTTTGCTGCGGCGCAGCTCAGAAGCGCTCCCGCCACTGCGCGGCGCATACATATATGTATACGCATACATATGTATATATATATATATATACATATATATATATATGTATTTGTATATGTATATATATATATGTATATATGTATATATATGTGTATATATATATATATATATTGCACTGGAAGCACCGCGCGCGCTCGAGTCCTGAGCGGCGGGCCGTGCCCGAGCGAAAACGCGCTGCGGTTCTGGAAGCCGGCGCGCTCGTCGCCGAAGGCGCGAATGGGTGCCTGGACTAGGGCGAGGGGTGCACAACCACATCCGCCACCGTGCCCTCGAGGCACGAGTCGGAGTGTCCCCAGGCCGGGGTCCCCGGCGTCTTGTCGCTCGGGAGCGACAAAGAGGGGGGCGTCCAAGAGGGGGGATGCAAATCATGGCCGGCGGCATGTGCGCGGCCCAGGGGGGGGGGGCCAGGGACGTAATGAAATAAGAAGAGGCGCCACGAAATCAGAGGAAATATCATGGCCCCCGCCATGATATCCACCTCCCCAAGTCATCACCCCCCTCTTTGCCGCCCCCGAGTCGCATGCTTCTGCCGCGCCGAAGGGGGGCCCCAGGACGGGCCCAGAGGGCCATGGGCAGGTCCCCCGGACGGAGCGGGCGGGTCCCGCATCGCCTATCCATCGGCCCGAGACGCCCAATATTGAAGGGGCCCTGGGACACACAAATAAATACACACAAATAAAAGAATTCCCTATATTTTGCCATATTTTCTCTGATTTTGTCTTCCCCACCAATTCCCATAGTTTCCCATATTTTCTGGGGATCGACGATCAATTGCAGTCGGCAGAAAAAGCGCCCAGGACGTCTCGAGAGGCGGCCAGAGCCTTCGCAGGAAGGCCCCGAACGTCTTGTACTTCCTGATGCTCCGGGACGCCTGAAGAGGCCCCAAAGATCGCCCCAAGACGGCCGAAGAGGCCTCCAAGAGGCGGACCCGAACGGACATTTTGAGCCCTCGGCCACGAAAGGCCGTCAGGATGCCCCTAAGAGGCCCTCCCAGCAGGCCCCCAAGATGCACCGAGAGGCCCCGAAGAGGCCCCGGGCAGGCCCCCCAAGAGGCCCCCGAGAGGCCGCCGAGAGGCTCTCAAGAGGCCCAAAACATGCCCCCAAGAGGCCCCAAGCCTGCCCCCGAGAGGCCCTCGAGAGCGCTCCGAAGAGACCCCGAGAAGCATCCCGCAGGACTCTGACCCAGGCAGAATGGCGGATGGGCCGATGGCCTTCCTGTATCCGCCGCCTCCTCTGGCTTGCCACGGGGGTGCAAGGCTCAAGTCGGGCCTGTCCGCCTACAGGGGGATTTTTGACGAAAAATACAGCAGACCCCAAAAATACACCAAAAAGGTAGAAAAACACTTTAAAAATAGTCCCCAGACTATTGTTTGACCTTTTGGGTGTATTTTTGGGGTACTTTTTTAAATTTTCCTCGAAGATCCCCCTGTAGGGGGACACGCCCGACTTAATGCAAGGCGTGAGATGTCTGGCAACTGTCTGGCGCGATACTATTCAGCTTCCCATGGGGCTTCGGCCCTGCCCACCGGCCACCTGGAAACACACATCGCCCGCCCGCTCTTTCGCTAAGGATGGCTTCAGAGAGGCATCCAAAGCCACAACAAAATGGCCCCCTCGGATCTACCAGCCTGGGACATATCCCTGTCCCTAGGCTGGGCATCGCCTCATCACAATGCCAATCTTAGGGGTTCCCTTAGTTTTTCAGGGCGCATCCCTAAGATTGTCATCGCATTTTGGCGCGCCAATCTTAGGGATAGGGATAAGTTCGAGGCTGGTGAATCCAAAGCCAAAACAAAAGGGCCCCCCATATGGCCAAGATGGCCCTGAGAAAGCCCAAGAATGCGCCGACAAAATGTAGCCAAGACGGCCCGAGATACACTCACGACGGCCTAACGTGGCCTCAGGATGGCCCAAAACGGCACAAGAAGCTCCCAAGAGGTCTCTAAGACGGCGCAAGAGCCCTTCAAGAGGTGCTCCAGGAAGGCCCAAAGAGCCCTGAGTTCCATTTAGTGCTCGAAGGATTGTGGCATGTTCTTCCAAACGGCCTTCCGACGGCCCAAGATGGCCCACGAGGCCCTCAAGATTGCCCCAAGATCGCCCAAGGTACCTCCCCAGGAATGCCCAAGAGGCTCCCAAAACGGTCCCCAAAGGGCCTCAAGAGGCTTCCAAGACGCCCAACCCTGAAGCGACCCAAGAGTGCTCCAAGACGGCCCAACGAGGCTCCCAAGACAGCGTCCGACAACGTCAGGCAGGCCAGGGACGCTTTAAGACGGACAAAGAGGCTCCCGAGAAGCCCCCCAAGGCCCAAGAGGCCTCCAAGAGGCCCCCAAGAAGCTCCCAGGATGCCACAAGAATGAACCAAAAAGCTCCAACGAAATCTCCTCATCCTCCTCCTCATCCTCATTGTTCCGTCTCCTCATCCTTCTCTCTCCCTCCCCCACGTGTTCCCCGAAGGGCTTCCACGAAGGCTGGGGGAACGCATTGTCCAATAGCGTCGACAAGCTTTACCCAGACGTTTGGCCACATAGGCGTATCCTAAAAGGCAGGGGGCGGCGGTGATTCTGGGGGCTTCCGTCGGCCTCCAGGAGCCTTCTGGGGAAGCATGTTGGTCCTCCTGGTGAGGGTTTTCTTCAAGACATGCTTGGGAGTCACGCGGGCCATCTTGAGGGAGAGGGCTCCCGCAGACCCCCCCGTTGGGTCAGGTCGGGCATGTCCTCATACGTGCGAATATGTGTTTCTTCTTCAAGAGACCGACAGCGTAATGTGTGCGACTCTAGTCCCTGAATTGCTTGCCGCGGGCGCTAACGTGCGCTTCAGCACGAAGAAGCGCCGATCAGATGTAAACGGATATGAGAAACAGTTAGGAGTTGAGAAGGCGGCGTCCAGACAAACAAAAGGGGGGCGCGGAAAGGCAAGGCCAGTTCGAAACGCTGCCCACGAGGAAGAACGCTTCCAAAGTGTGTTGGTTCGCCCGCTGGGTGAAAATTGCGAATCCCTTGGAAATTACTCAACAGTCTTGAACATTGAAATTTACAACGAATCGTGGGATCGTCTCGGCCGCCCAGATGGGGTCCGAGTAGCCGGGGCCGGCCTCATTGCGACCGATTGCGACCGAACCCTGTAGATCCGCAGCTTGACTATACACGCGCCAAGAACAACATCTTCTGGCACCCTTCCTTAGGCGCCGCCGCCTCCGTGTAGTCATCCTCTCCAAGCAGCCCTCCGACACGATGCCCTGTGGGCTGTAGGTTCTTGACGTAGACGTTCAGGTAAGGCTGCCCCTTGTCGATGTGACCGCTGCAGACTTTGAGCTCCACGAGCCCGAGCTTCAGCCACTTCGGCGTCTCGTCTCGCGCGTCGCGAGCGTCGAAGTGGAAGCCTCCAGGCCGCGCCTTGTCCGCCCACGTCCCTGTTGCGTTGACCTCGTGGAAGTAGATGTCCGAGCAATATGCCCCCAATCGACGCGCGTCGGCCTTTACAACAAGCAGCGCATCGTCGACAAGCGCCCCGCGCGGAACACTGACCAAGACAGCCGTGCCCGGCCTCACTAAGACGAACCGCTGACCGATCATGTTCTGCAGGTGTGGGCCGCCAATTGCGGAGGACGACGTCGTCGCCTGCGATGGGCTGGGCGTCGGGCTGCGCGTCGGGAAGGCCGTCGGGAAATCCGTCGGGTAGGGCGTTGGAAAGGCTGTCGGTGCGGGCGTTGGTGCGATCGTTGGTGCTGGCGTCGGCGTCTGCGATGGGCTGGGTGTCGGGCTGGGCGTCGGGAAGGCCGTCGGGACATCCGTCGGGTAGGGCCTTGGACAGGCTGTCGGTGCGGGCGTTCGTGCGAGCGTTGGTGCTGGCGTCGGCGCCTCGGTCCCGAAGACGCGAACGTGACCAGAATTTGACCCAGCACCGTCGTTGCAATATGCTCCAATGGCCACGCGGCTGCCGTCGCTGCTCAGCGACATCGAATGGCCACTGTAATCGTATCAAACTTCGCCGTCGATGTCCTGCGCCACCTGGCTCCACGTGTTGCCCGAGAGCCCGAAGACGCGAACGTGGCCAGACATTGACCCAGCACCGTCGTTGCCGTATGCTCCAATGGCCACGCGGCTGCCGTCGCTGCTCAGCGACACCGACAAGCCACTGGGATCGCCTGAGGCTTCGCCATCGATGTCCTGCCACAACTGGCTCCAAGTGTTGCCCGAGAGCCCGAAGACGCGAACGTGACCAGAATTTCACCCAGCACCGTCGTTGCCGTATACTCCAAAGGCCACGCGGCTGCGGTCGCTGCTCAGCGGCTGTAATCGTATCAAACTTCGCCATGTTCTGCCCCGACTGGCTCCACGTGTTGCCCGAGAGCCCGAAGACGCGAACGTGACCAGAACTTGACCCAGCACGGTATGCTCCAATGGCCATGCGGCTGCCGTCGCTGCTCAGCGACACCGACCAGCCACTCTTATCGCCTGCGGCTTCGCCATCGATGCCCTGTCCCAACTGGCTCCAAGTGTTGCCAGAGAGCCCGAAGACGCGAACGTGACCATAATTTCCCCCATCACCGTCGTTGGCGTGTGCTCCAATGGCCACGCGGCCGCCGTCGCTGCTCAGCGACACCGACTGGCCACTCTTATCGTCTCCGGCTTCGCCGTCGATGTCCTGCCCCACCTGGCTCCACGTGTTGCCCGAGAGCCCGAAGACGCGAACGTGACCAGACTCTGACCCAGCACCGTCGTTGCAGTGTGCTCCAATGGCCACGCGGCTGCCGTCGCTGCTCAGCGACACCGACTGGCCACTCATATCGCCTGCGGCTTCGCCATCGACGTCCTGCCCCAACTGGCTCCAAGTGGCCGCCTCGAAGACGCGAACGTGACCAGAACGTGACCCAGCACCGTCGTTTTCGGGTGCTCCAATGACCACGCGGCTCCTCCCGTCGCTGCTCAGCGACACCGACCAGCCACTCTGATTGAGTGCGGCTTCGCCATCGATGTCCTCCCCAAACTGGCTCCAAGTGTTGCCAGAGAGCCCGAAGACGCGAACGTGACCAGACATTGACCCAGCACCGTCGTTTTCGCGTGCCCCAATGGCCGCGCGGCTGCCGTCGCTGCTCAGCGACGCCGAATGACCACTCACATCGCCTGCGGCTTCGCCATCGATGTTATGCCCCACCTGGCTCCACGTGATGCCCGAGAGCCCGAAGACGCGAGCGTGACCAGATTCTGACCCAAACCAGCCGTTGCCCCATGTCCAATGGCCATGCGGCTGCCGTCGCTGCTCAGCGACACCGAATGGCCACTGTAATCGTCTCCGGCTTCGCCATCGATGTCCTGCCCCAACTGGCTCCAAGAAGCCCCCGTCACCATGTGGTCAGCCGCCTCGACTTGTCGTCGTCCTTTCTGCTGGCTGGTGTTCACGTGGAGCACCATGGAGGTCACTGTAGACACGCCCTGAACAAAAGGCATAGGATGTGTGCCCACCGTTTTCATTTGTACACTTGTCCGCGCACTTGCAGTTGGCGTCCTTCAATGCAATGGTGAAGTACTTGTACGTCGCGCACCCGTGCCCGCTGCAGAACAGTAAGGTTTGCCGACGGTGAGCCACCCACTCTCCCTGCCAAGACCTGCGCATCCACGTTGAGGAATAAGCACGGAATCCACCGTGAAATCAATCCGTAGCGTTGCCGCCTCTAAACCGTCCGGCCCATGCACTGACATCTGCCTGCATGAACTGCATGTCGGCGCTCACAGCGTAAGCGAGTGCAAATGTCGCCGCAGAGGTCAGTACGTGTACCATTGCTGAGTCGACGATCGCCAAGAAGTGTAGCAATGAACGTCCAGTTGCGATGTGAGAAAACGAAGAGCTCCCCATGAGCCAAAATGGCTATGGCTCCTCATGCGTGCGAATCTTGGACGAAACATCAGACCGCTCAAGAGATATTCAAACATAGCCTGAGATAGTCATAACATCGTCCCCGGGCTATGTGTTTGACTGTTCTTGAATCTTCCTCTCGTAGAGGGGCATGCCCGACTTACCCTTAAGTCGGGCGTGTCCCCCTACAGGGGGATTTTCGACGAAAAATAAAAAATACCCCAAACATACTGTCTCCAACAAGGTCAAAACATAGTCAACAAATAGTCCCCAGGATATTTTTGGACCATGCTCTGACTATTCTTTGGGTATGTTTTATTCCCAACCCTCCTTGGTTGGGTATTCGTTTTGAATAGAGCAGTGTGGTCGCGTCCCTTCTCCCGCCTCCCGCCTCTTCCTGTCTTGCCCGCGGGGGGCTGCGATCTGTGAAACTGTCGCCACTTTCGAGGCCTGCTGGGGGGCCCAGCACAGTGAGGGCCACGGGCGGACCCAAATTAGACCTCGCCATCCCTGGGGGGCTGCGATCTGCGAAACTGTCGCCATTTTCGAGGCCTGCTGGGGGGCCCAGCACAGTGAGGGCCACGGGCGGACCCAAATTAGACCTCGCCATCCCTGGGGGGCTGCGATCTGCGAAACTGTCGCCATTTTCGAGGCCTGCTGGGGGGCCCAGCACAGTGAGGGCCACGGGCGGATTCAAATTAGACCTCGCCATCCCTGGGGGGCTGCGATCTGCGAAACTGTCGCCATTTTCGAGGCCTGCTGGGGGGCCCAGCACAGTGAGGGCCACGGGCGGATTCAAATTAGACCTCGCCATCCCTGGGGGGCTGCGATCTGTGAAACTGTCGCCACTTTCGAGGCCTGCTGGGGGGCCCAGCACAGTGAGGGCCACGGGCGGATTCAAATTAGACCTCGCCATCCCTGGGGGGCTGCGATCTGTGAAACTGTCGCCACTTTCGAGGCCTGCTGGGGGGCCCAGCACAGTGAGGGCCACGACAGATTCAAATTAGACCTCGCCATCCCTGGGGGGCTGCGATCTGCGAAACTGTCGCCACTTTCGAGGCCTGCTGGGGGGCCCAGCACAGTGAGGGCCACGCGCGGACCCAAATTAGACCTCGCCATCCCTGGGGGGCTGCGATCTGTGAAACTGTCGCCACTTTCGAGGCCTGCTGGGGGGCCCAGCACAGTGAGGGCCACGCGCGGACCCAAATTAGACCTCGCCATCCCTGGGGGGCTGCGATCTGTGAAACTGTCGCCATTTTCGAGGCCTGCTGGGGGGCCCAGCACAGTGAGGGCCACGCGCAGATTCAAATTAGACCTCGCCATCCCTGGGGGGCTGCGATCTGTGAAACTGTCGCCATTTTCGAGGCCTGCTGGGGGGCCCAGCACAGTGAGGGCCACGCGCGGATTCAAATTAGACCTCGCCATCCCTGGGGGGCTGCGATCTGCGAAACTGCCGCCATTTTCGAGGCCTGCTGGGGGGCCCAGCACAGTGAGGGCCACGGGCAGATTCAAATGAGACCTCGCCATCCCTGCGGGGCTGCGATCTGTGAACCTGTCGCCACTTTCGAGGCCTGCTGTGATCCCCGTTTTCGAAGTGGCTAGGAGTGCTCAGGAATTGTAAATCATCAGCTTTATCAAGCCCTTTTCCTGTAGCCAGTGTCCTGCGAGTCTCCCGAATTCCGTCTGCAGACATATGTAACCCTCGCTCCGTCATCGCCCCCTTATAAAGTATCCTAAACTATTTGCGCCCCGCTTTTGCGCAGGGGTTGGGTACGTCGCCAGGGTAATGTTTCGCCGTTCGCCGAAAATCCACCTATAGGGGGACAGGCCCGACGCACCCCTTTGGGGCCCCTCGTGGGCTCTCCTGGGGCATCTTGGAGGCCTGCCTGGCCGCGCTGGGTGGGGGGCCTCTTCGGCGGTCCTGGGGCGGTCGTGGGGACCATCGAGGGGCGGGATCAGAGGAGAGGAGGAGGAGGAAGAGGAGGAAGAGGAGGAGGAACAAGAAGGCAACCGCTGGCGGAGGAGCAGTAGGAAGCCCTTCGGGGAACACGTGGGGGAGGAAGGCGAGGACGAGGGGAGGGAGGAAATGGGAGAATGCGAAATAGTAGGGCAGCACGATGGCCGAAGGGAGGCGAGAAAGCAAAAGAAGCATGGGTGAGGAGGAGAAGGAGGAGGAGGAGGAGGAGGAGGAGGAGGACGAAAAGGAGCAGGCGAATCATGAGAAGGGACCCCTGACGCGGATGTCGGCCCGAGAGCTCTCCGAGACACGGGGGCCTCTGAGGGACTCGATGGAGTCTCTTGGGATGCCTCGCAAGTCGGATTAGGTCGGGCATGTTCCCCTACACGCGGATTTAGACACCACCTAGAAAATAGCAAAACAATAGTTACAAAAATTGCCAAATATGGTCCACAAAATCGTCTCAGGCTAATTGTTGTTATGGTTCCTATTCTTCCTGTTCTTGAATTCTTCCTCCTCCTCCCTCCCTCCTCCTCCCTCCTCCCTCCTCCCTCCTCCCTCCTCCCTCCTCCTCCTCCTCCTCCTCTTCTTCTTCTGCTTCTGTTTATGCTTCTTCTTCTTCCTATTATTATTACTATTATTAGTATTTCTCTTCTTCCTCCTCCTCCTCCTCCTCCTTCTACTCCTCAGCCGCCGTCTCCTGCTCTAGCCCCTTTCTTCGCGGCCCAGCAGGCACCCCACGCAGAGCAGCTTCCGCCCCCAGGGCACCCTTCATGTCATGCCAGCGCGGCTGGTCATCCATATTTACTTCGCTCACGTTCTTATGGACGGTATTCCTGAGATGGGGTGTGTACAACCCGCTCAGCACGGTCGCGCCGCCGAAAAGCTGGCAGCAAAGCTGGCAGATGTCGGGACTGTTCAGCGCTGGCGACGTCATCATGTTACCAGCCGCTCGTGGGAGGCAGCTCGCCCCCACCAGCCCCGACGACCAACACCAGACCTACCTGCACCGCTTCGTCAAGAGGAGCTTCGGCAGCGGCCCTACCACCAACAATCAAGCGGGAGTGGCCAGCGCGATCTGCAACCTCTACCGCATCAATCGTGTGACCGCGCTTCCCAACCCACCACCGAGCATTCAAGGACGTGCAGGAGCAGTTCGCCTTCGCCGAGGAGGGGCCGACACGAAGTTCACTGTTGTGTCTCCACCTCTACGGCCAGGGCTCGCCAAGCACCACTACGCCCGGGTCAAGACGATCAACGAGAAGCTCAAGAGGACCAACCAGACTCAGAACGTGACGCACACCAGGAGTACGCCGATCATCGGCCCAGTCCAGAACGACAACTACGGCAAGGACGGACTGCTTCTCGCCAAGTTTAGCAACGTGATCGGCGACCCAGGCGCGACAAGAATACCTGGAGCGACAACCGCGGCCATCCACTACACGCTCGACTTGCACGGCAGGTGCATCCTGAACAATTCCTGGAAAGCGGGGCCCACGTATTTCAGTGCCCACGGGCAGGCCACAAGTCTCGACTACATTGCAGTGCCTCACGGTCTATGCTACCACCATACTTCTTCCAGAGTCTGGTGGCGAATGATTAAGGCCCCCAACTCATCAATTACAACGTGCCGCGCGACCTTGTCTTACCGAATGCAGCCGCCAACGTCATCATCCCGAATGTGTTCATCGACTTAAAGAGGACCACCTGGGACTACGACAAGACGGCCCTGGCTCTGCTGAAGGGCAAGTACCACAAGGAGTTCAATGACGTGACGGAGTTCTACTTCGGCAAGCACCAGGACAAGCTGAAGAAGTTGGTCGGGGACAACACAGTGGACGAGCTCGTGGGGCTCCTCGCGATCCTCATGAAGGAGGCAGCCATGCCCGTCTTCGAGCGCCCGAAGCCCAAGCTCGAACTGTACCACCAGCTCAAGGACGAACGTCTGCGGCTTCCCCAGGCGTGCACCAAGCTCAGAAAGGAGTACTTCGGGACCGACCCCAACTACGAGATCGAGTACCACATCGAGGTCCTCTCACGAGCCCACAAGAAGCAGCAGCGCCAGCACGAAGCAAGACGTCAACACCTCGAGGAGCGCACCTACGAGGCTAGGCAACGACGAGAACACGCAGTTCTTCAACAGTCTCGCATCATGGCCAGCTTCAAATACGGCAAGCGCAACCGCTACTACAGCCGCGCGACCAGAGCACGCCCCAGTGTGCAGGAGGGGGTAGTTCACATTGCAGCAGACGGCCAGCAAGGAGGGTCCAGTGCTCGCCAGCTCGACCTCGAATGGGAGCAGCGCATCTCGAAAGAGACCTCCCACGAGTTCACCACGAAGCACAACCTAGAAGTTCGCCAGGAACAAGGGGACGCCAAGGTAGGCATCAAGCGAGCTATCTACGGCGTCACCAAGCGGCTCAAGTACTTCAAGAAGTGCGCCCCCGTGCCAGACTGGATACTGCCCGCCGGGATCTGCCAGATAACCTTCCAGCCCACCTACTTCACCAAACAGCAGCCGAAGTCGACTGGCGTGGGCTACGATGAAGAGCTCGCCGAGCCCCCCCTCGCGCAGGAGAGCTTCGAGCCTGACCTCAACCA